TTGTTATGAGACCCCAACCGCTCACCCCATTCTGCGACAGCACACTCCTCCCCTCCACCCGATTCCCCATGGAACATTCAACCAGCTCCTAACTCTCTCTGCCTCCCACCTCACCTCTGGACAGAAGCCGCCCCTTTGGTCTCTTGTATCTACTTGACTAAGAGGCACATTCCTCACAAGTATCACTTTATGTCCCACAGTCCAGTCCAATCCCTGTCTGAAGAGTTGGCCTCGGAAACTATTTTAGTTCTGGGGTGATAGAGTCCAGGGGCCATGGTTTCCAGGGCGCCTCCAGTCTCAGTCAGACCATTAAGTCTGGCCTTCTTACTAGAATTTGAGTTCTGCACCTCACCCTTCTCCTGCTCCATCAGGGACCCTCTGTTGTGTTCCCTGTCAGGACGTTCATTGGTGGTAGCCGGGCACCAACTAGTTCTTCTGGTCTCAGGCTGATGAAGTCTCTGGTTTATGTGGCCCATTCTGTCTCTTGGGCTAATACCTTCCTTGTGTCTTTGGTGTTCTTCGTTCTCCTTTACTCCAGGTAGTTGGGACCAACTGATGCATCTTAGATGGCCGCTTGCAAGCTTTTAAGACCCAAGACATCACTCACCCAACTAGGATGCAGAACATTTTCCTAATAAGCTTTGTTATGTCAATTGACATAGATGTCCCCTGAAAGCATGGTTCCTGGACCTTGCATCCCTGCTACTCTGTCTCTCAAAGTATTTGATTGTATTGAGGAAACTTCTTAGCTTTGGTTTAATCCAGTTGTGCTGGCTTCCCCTGTAGTGTGTGCTGTCCTTTGGAGCTGGGGTGATCTTGACTCTGTCTCCAATCAACATGCTGACGAGACAATGGGACAGACTGTGCTTCTCTCATTTTGAGGATCTAGAGACAACCTGAGCAGGCCAAAGAGAGAGAAGTCTTCAAAACCTGAGTATTGTGCATTTCCAGCTCTTCGGCCTATGGAAAAAACCGTCCTCCCTGAGGAATACGTGACTTTGCAAGGAAGGTTTTCAAGTATGCAGGAACACCTCGTGTCTTGTTGGGTCCCTCTAAGAAGTGGTGGGAGTCACACATAGGAAGCCCTGGGACTGCCATCTCCATGGTTCCTGTGAGCAGCCCCCTTATAAAGAGATCGTAACAGCATCTGAGGCCCAAAGGAGAAACATGAGCACAGTTCTGTCACATGGATGCCACACCCACTCAGCGGGGCCAGAATGAGGGTCATGGACAACACGAGGTATAGCCGAGGCTGCCACAGGAAATCAGCCCACAACAGACAGAGGGCAGGTGTGCAGGGAGCAAGGGTCTCGTGAGGAGAGGCCGTCACATGGAGAATGGCCAGTTCCCTCCACGTGGACGGTGACTCAGCATCTCTCACGTTTGGAGAATCCCACAGGAACAAACCACAGGCCCACATAAAGAACACTGTCTGAGTAGTCAAACCAGCTCTCCTGAAAGGGCTGAAAGGGAAGTGCACCATCCGCCACTCTTGTCTGCCACAGGGCTCGCCAACCCACATGGGAGCCCCACCAGCGTGTGCTGGGGAGACCCCGCTTCTCGGCCCTGCCCTGCCGGCAGCACCGAGGGCTGTCTCAGTCTGTAACTTGATATGTACCTGTCCAAACCCCAAGCTCAGCTCTTCTCTCTCTTGTGCCAGAGCTCTTCTTTCTCTTGTTCACAGTCTCCTGGCTGCTAACAGAAGAAGAGGCCTTAAAACTAAGAATCCAGCTAAATGAACCGGCCTTGGGGAGAAATGCCAATCAAGGTGAAAAAACAACTTTATTTTCAGCTCTCAGCAGGCAACTAAATCCCACAGCCTCACTAAGCCCCATGAACGATCTCTGATTCTGAAGCAGAAGGTCGTTTCTGAAATGACACAAGCTCGCAGCTAACACACGCTGTGTGTAGAGACCTGGAATCCTGGGGGTCCACAGGTAGCCCTCAGATCTTCAGCAAGCAGAACACGGGTCCCAGAGAAGGGGAGAAGGGAGTGTGAAGATGAAGACACTGCTGCAGTCAATGCCTCATCCGCCCCTATGGCATGCTCACTGGCCATGGCCCAACCCAACATTGCTGTGCGGCTCACACATTTACGTCACGGGTGGCCCCTGGAGGACACGGTGCCCACAGGATTAATGCCAAGCCATCTGTCTCCTGTTTTAACACCAATCAGATTCCGTAACTCTGTCATACAAAATGCCACCTGGCTAAACCACTCACTGGAGAAAAGGATGAGTAAGGAGGAGATTTCTAGCCCTGGAAGTCACAGTACAGCTGGCGCTGAGCCGACAGACCAGAGGGACACCTCAGTCACTCCCTCACAGCGCCGAGGACTGCATACCAGCTGCCTTCAGGGGTGTGGAAGGCGGAGGGAAGGTGTGACTCCCTAGAGTTCCTCCCCCCTGCTTGGAGGCCCTGCAGAGAGAATCTGCCCTTCACCACGGAGCCACCTACCACCTGAACAGGTACACTGGCCTGCCCAGAGCACCTGCCCCTCCGAGGCCTTTCCTGATGTTGTACTCTGAGCTTCGTGTTAAACGAGAGCATGGTCATGCAGTGCTGGGACAGGCAGTCCTCAAGGCGGCCTCCTCCCACTTCCTTCTCACCCTCGGTGGACAGTTAATCTTTCTGCATATTTGCAGTTTTGGGATGATCCCAGCTGACCATCTCAACAATCTACAACCAGAACAGTAGTTCAAGAAGTCCATGAACTGACAATCAGGGAACCCTGACTTTGACACCCACCACTTAAGTTATAGAGATGAGCTGTGATAATAAAAGGAAACTCAACTGGCAGCATGTGGCTAGGAGAAATACTGGGAAGAAAACAGTTAGCACCATCATTGTTTCGCCAAGTCCCACCAGGCCTAAACTGGAGACTTAGAAAAAACACAGCCACACTGTACCTCATAAGCTGTTTCCATGGGATCATCTTTCTCTTCTTTCTTAACCTCTTCCAGCTCTTGAAGCTTCTTGGTCAGTGTTTGAACTTGCTCTCTAAAGGGGGAAGGGAAAAGACAAACCTGACTTGCTGTCAGAGTGTAGGACCTGTGTGTACCTGGCGAGAGGTGCCGCATGGCAGGGACGAAGCAGTCCCCATGGACACAGATCAGCACTGTGTAGCCACTCCGCCTGGGCACCTGGGCCCCATGGCTGGGGGCCTCACTGGACTTAGGGACAGAGCCGAAGAGTCCCATGAAGATGGTGCTTCTATTGCCTGCCTCCCCTGCTGGCCCAGAGCTCCAAGGGGCAGGGATGGAGGAGCCCACGAAAGACCTCAAAACAACTTCATTGCATGAATGATGAAATATTATTTGGCAATTGTTGTTGTTCTTATTAGCTGCCATTGAGTTGATTCTGACTCATAGTGACCTCATGTGTTAGAGTAGAACTGTCTCATAGGGTCTTCTTGGCTGTAATCTTTATGGAAGCAGTTCACCAGGTCTTTCTTCCACAGAGCTGCTGGGTATGTTCGAACCACCAACCTTTAGGTTAGCAGCCAATTAAAAACCACTAGCTCCATCCAGGCTCCTTAACTGCATGACTGATGAATAGGTAGGTAACACTTGGGGTTTTTAATAAACCATGTGGTTGGCAGGAAATACAGCTTATGTCCTCACTACAGACACTAAGGCAAAGTAAAAACAGTTCATCTCTGCGAACCCGCCCTTTCTGATTTGCATTAAGTCTAGCCTTCTGACAAAATCTAGTCGTGTTTCTCTTGAAAGTAAAAATTTTTAATTCATTCCAGTAATCGTTAATTATGCTGAGTGCTAGTTTGCTCAGATTTCTAATCTTATTAATTTTTTAGTATTGAGATAAAATTCACATAACATAAAATTCACCATTTTAAAGCGTACGATTAAGTGGTTTTTAGCACCTTCACAATGTTGTGCAGGCATCACCACTAATTCCAGAACATTTTCATCACCCCAAAAAGAAACCTGACACCTACTGGCAGCCCCTCCCAATTCTCCCTCCCTCCCAGCCCCTTGTAACCACTAATCTATCTCCTGCCTCTATGAATTTGCCTATTCCAGGTACTTCATGTAAGTGGGATCGTACAATATGTCCTTTTGCGCCTGATTTATTTCACTCAGCATAATATCTTCAAGGTTCATCCATGTCGTAGCATGGATCAGGACTTCATTTCTCTTGATGGCTGAATAATAGCCCATTGTATGTATATACCACATTGTGTTTATCCAGTACCTCTTGACGGACACCTGGGTGGTATCTACCTTTTGGCTGCTGTGACTAATGACGTTATGAGGGATGGTGCCTGGGGAGGTACCCAATGCCTGAGCTGAATCCTGATCCGAGGTGAGCACAGAGGGATGAGCTCATGTGTGTCAGTAAGGCGTGAGGGACCCATGTGGGGAGTTGGCCATGACAAGGAGGCGGGCACTGGCCTCGTCATGAAGAGCCTCACCGCGTCTGCGTTCTTATTCTGAGGGTAACAAAAAACCTCTGGAGGATTTTAGGAAGAGGAATGACTAAACAAGGTGGTGGATTTTTAGAACACTGCTCTGGAAGCTATGCTCAGAACAGGTGAGGGCAAGTAGCATCTGGAGGCAAGGAAAGTTTGGAATTCTGTGTATTCTCTTTAAAATGAACTCTTCAGCCCACTTACCTCAAGGTCTCCTCTCTCTCTCGTCTCTCCTTCTCACTCGCCTTCACATGCTCCAGCTCCTTCTCTAAGTCAGCCTTTGTTTGGAGCAGCTGCTTCACTTCCAAACTGAATGTACAAAGCCAAACACATCTCAGTGTTCATTACAACAACAGGCCACCGTTACACTGATAACCACAGAGTAGGAAGACCTTTCAGAAACTGGAATGCAGTCTGATTTCCTCACTTACTTGAGAACAGTGGACACCAGCAGCAGGAGGGTAAATAAAGGCACTCATTTATAACTGCATGAGCCCATGCAGAGCGTGAGGGCCCTGGCTTTCAGTCGGCTAGCTGGTCATTCCCTCAGATGTTTACTGAGCACCTGCTGTGTGCCAGGGACTGCCAAGTGAGCAGAACCTGACCAGGTGCCTGCTCTCATGGGCCTCACAGTCTAGCGAGGAAAAAGCGTTCCTCCAGCAATCCCACAGCTCAGTGCACAGTTCACATCTGAAGGAAGGACGCAGGTTCTGAGAACGCCACACAGACCACACTAGCAGTTCTGTGCACCGAGGTCTGTGCAGCACCTGCAAACCTAAACACCACTGCAGCAGACCAACGGGCCAGCTTACTCCTGACAGGGCTGTGGCGGGAGGTGGCCATGGATAAAGCACGGGACAGGAAAGGAGGCTGCAGACCAAAAAACAACGGATGAACAGCAAGTACACAAAATCTCTAGGCTTTGCCTTTCAAAATGGTATGGTCACATGGAATGCTCTATAGCAGGTACGTCTTGATATAGAGATCGAATGCCAAAAACTTATTATTGAATTTTTAAAGAACTAAATTTGCATAAGGTCCTGTTGGTCATTTTAAACAAACCAAAGAAAGCAAACTCCTCTACAAAGGGATGTGATTAACACTCTTTGAATTCAGTGTAGAGATTTAAACAGCATTCTCCCTGGCCAGCCCACACGCTTCTAACAACATAACATGGCTGATTAATGCCTTCTTTTTACCACAAAGCTGCCTTCAGCTCACAGTCAAAATATTAGAAGTTCCAGAATCACGTAAAAATATTTGTGCAATAACTATCAGGAGCTGAGCTGCTGTTGTCGGGTGCTGTTGGGTCAATTCTGACTCGTGGCAGCCTCATGTGACAGAGCAGAACTGCCCCACAGGGTTTCCTAGGCTGTAATCTTTATGAGAGCAGATTGCCAGATCTTTCTCCTGCAGATCCGCTGGGTGGGTTCAAACCCCCGACCTTTAGCAGCTGAGCACTTAAACTTTGCCCCACCAGCAATCCTATAGCTGAGCAGACTTCTCAAAGTCACAACAGCCTCGCTCTAGAAACAATGGTTTCCAACAGGAAACGGGAGCTCTTTAACCCCATGGAGGCATGGTGAGAGCGCCGCCACATCAAGAACATACTCCTTGTCCAGCAGCTGGGTGTGCAGGGCGGTCTGCTCGCCCTTCAGGCTCTTCAGGACGCCTTGCAGGCGCTCGCACTCCTCCTGGTGGTCCACCTGGGGCTGCCTGTGCACCGTGGAGTTGGATGAGGAGTGAGGCACGGAGCTCGCTTTCACTAGTTCTGCTGAGTGCGACTTGGGGCTTTCCAGTGAACTTATTTTCTGGAGACAAAACAGGTATTGTCAGAATTCGTTCTCATCTCTACTTTCCCTTTATGACACCCAGAGGAGAGGCAATGGACCACAGGGAGGCTGGTCTAAGGCTTGGGGGCTGGGAGAGTGCTGCGTGCGTGTACAGGGCTGGGGGACGCAGGGTGCCATGTGTGTGCATGGAGGGCTGGGGGACATGGAGGTGCTGTGTGTGTTGAGGAGCGTTGTAGGACGCAGGGGTGCTGTGTGTGCCGAGGAGGGCTGCGGGATGCAGAGGAGCTCTATGTGCCAAGGAGGGCTGCAGGACGCAGGGGTGCTGTGTGTGCTGCAGAGGGCTGGTGGATGCGGGGGTACTGTGTATGCCGTGGAGGGCTAGGGGACGCAGGGGTGCTGTGTGCCAAGGAGGACTAGGGGATGCGGGTGTGCTGTGTGTGCCGTGGAAGGCTTGGCGGCACGGCCCCAGGAGAGGACACCCCTACCCATGACAGGTCTTTAGTCAGAGGGGAGGCGAGCAGACTCAGCCTGGGGCAGGGATAGGGCAGGGGTAAAAAGCCATCAGGAAAACAGAGAAAAGGGCACAAGGGAAGGTGAATTCATAAACTATTTTCCTTTTTGCTCATTTACTCTATTATTTCCCTAGAGTTTCTGAAATTTTCATCCTGTTTTGAAATTAAGTCATATCCCTGCTGTGCCAGCTAAGTGTCACTGAGCCCCGTCTGACTCCTGCTGTCTCACCATCTCGCCGTCTCTCCTGTCATCTTCCACCACACTTCTGGACCACCCCTGGGTGCTTTTATTTCCTAACAAGCTTTGTTTTTTAAAATACCCACAATTTATTTAAAAAACAAAAACAAAAAAAAACAGCTGAAGTTTCTGCTTTGTAAGTATGTGAAATTATTACTTTTAAAAAATTCCCCTGCTTAGTCAAACAATCGAGACAACTCTAAGCCAATATTTTGCCAGGCTACTCGAAAGACACTGGCACTGGGCTCAGCTTCACTAGTCTCAGACTGTTGGCCGGTTTGCAAATTCACAGGGAGGACAGGAGGAAACGTTAACCTCTCAGGTCTTCTGTGGCTGCACATAGTTTCTGCAAATTCAAGCATCACCTGAGTGGTGAGAAAAACAGTCTGGTGAACTACTGGCAATGAACGGCCCATGACATACGTAGGCCAGGCTGGACTGCAGACGGTTCTGGAGCTTGGACCACGTGCACCGCCTACGGCTACACATACACGTCCACAGTGGGGGCGCACAGCAGGGGCTTCCCCATCTGTCAAATCAGGGACCTGAGTTCACAGCCCTCGAGGCCATGTCTGACTGGGGAGCATGACTGTCCTCTCCAGTTTGGCCCGGTGCTGTGTGGACACAGCCCCTTTATGGGTCCACGGGTCCACCTCTCCATGGACATGCGCTGTGCAGAGTGAACACCCTCTGCCCACTGTCCCTGATGCCTAGCCACGCCCCAAGATGGTGGTCCCCGGCAGTGGGAGGAGCTGTAGAGGGGCCCACTCACCTTCTCCAGCTCCGTGATGCGCCTCAGCAGCCTGGGCTTGCTCCATTCCACGTAACCTACAGGAGCAGCAGGCGTGGACAGACACATCACGTGTGACACCCCGTGGGCACCCTCACCTAGACTGCCCACCCAGAACTGCACCGAGGATGCCCTCCACTGCGGCCATCACTGCCAGAAGCCCCGTGTATGGATGCCTGGTGCCCCATCTCCCCTCCCAACCCCAGGGAGGGGCCCCTGGGGTACCCTTGATCTTGGAGATGGTGGGGGAGTTGCTGAGCAGCCGGTCCAGGTCCTCCTTCAGGCTCTGGTTTTCCTCGGTCAGCTCCTGCACACTCCGTGTCAGGTTCAGGAGGACGCTACTCATCTTCTTTTGCCGCTTGAGGCCTACCTTCTTCTCCATGGGGAGCCTGGCAACGACATCGAGAGGTCTAGGGCGTGGGTTTCTAGACTGGCTTACTAAATGTCCGTCAGCTCAGAGTGGTGGCAGGGAGCACTGGCTCTGAACCCCAGGTGAGCAAAATGCTAGCCCCTACTACAGAGCTCCATTCTTCTCAGAAAAATTCCTCTGTATGAGAAAATGTCGTACTCAATTACGACTATTGTTTTAAATTACATCATACCTTTGATTTTGCCTCTGAAGTCTAAAATAATTACTAACTGCCCTTTTACAGAAGATGTTTGCCGAGCCCTGTTTTAAACCATTAGGGGGAAAGGAAAAAGGAGACAACCGTGCCTGATGCAGCTATAAAGGCCAGCGACGTGATCACATCTATAAGGGTTCGTCCCCTCTCTAATCTGTTGAGAGCCTGGTATCACACCTGCAGATAAGGAAAATCTACAAGCCAGGGGAAACCTTGATGTCTCTCCAAGTAAGCTCATTTAGGAAGACTTTAAGTGGCAAAATGAACTTGCACTTGGCAGTAAATGTCTTCCGCTAAGGGGGAAAGGCTGTGGAACAGCATTTCCTAATGCTGAGCTGGAAGCTGCTGTGCAGGACACATAACTAACACAGGCAAGGCTGTGCATCATAACTTGTCAACTCCGGCCATGCACAGGCGCTGGCCCACCCAGAGCCCGCAGTGCCTGTGGCACAGTCACACTACTGCTACAAGGGATTACACAGTACGGAGACAACCCAGAAACATGCCCCCAAAGATGTGGTCGTACTTCTTTCCTGTAGCTTCAGAACTTGCCAAGAGAGTCTGGAGACGGTGAATCTGTAAAGACCACATTAAAATGCATTAAAGACACGTCATAAGCACGAAGGAGCCTTCCCTCCTAGAACGCGCCGGCCAGATCCTTGGTTCCCGCCCGGTGGCACGAGTAGATGCTAAGCTGCTGGGATGCACACTCAAGTCGAGAGGCACTGGGATGGCAGGGTCCCAGAGGGTAGCCTGGTCTGGGTCAGCCCCTGGTCCCCTCCCAGACCAGGAAGAAGGAAGACAGCACGCACCTCCTCGTAGTACGTCTCCATGGCTATCCGCATCTCTTCGAGGTTCGTGGTCTTTATGTCAGTCTGGAGTTTGCTGGAAACCAAGCGCAAAGTTAGCACGGTAATGCCTGCACTCCCAGTGGGCAGAGCAAGAGCAAGCATGTTTCCCCAAACATCAGAGAGGCGGTGGGTTTGGGAAAAAAACCCCGAGTCTGCCCTGCACTGGCCTTGTAGCCTTGAACAAAAGACTCTTCTCAAAACTGATGGGAGAATTCATCACACCAAAAAGTACTCATTCTGTGTGGGACCAGCCGAGGCACAAGTCAAGGTAAAGAGACTCTAGAAATATTTTCATCTAATGATGATGCTATCTTTAAAATCAGAGCAACTGTGAAGAACTAGCTCAGGGCTTAGAGAGGACAAGTCATCTTTGGGGGCAGGCGGGGAGGAATGACTTGTTTTATAAAAAAAAGAGGGTCAGTCTCCCTCTTAGTGCTGCCGGTTTAATTGGCCTTGTACTCAACATCTAACGGGCCTTAGATAAAAGGCACTAACAGGGAAATGGGAAGGTTCTGGAACATAGGAGAAACCAGAAATAAGATGGCAAGCTGACAAACTTCAGCAGGAAGTAAACTGTGGAGTGGGGTGGGGGGTGACTACTGCACAAGAGGATGCAGGAGGAGATGGCAGGAAGTGGAGCCTCTATTTTCCTCAAATAAACATGAACCCGGCGACAAATGATGACCCCTTTGCACTCAAGAGCCAGGTAAGGAAGAAGCTCATCGCTGCCCCAACCAGCACAGGGACCACACCCAACTGAGGGGGCAGCTGGGAGAAACATTTGACGTCAAGGGCTCCATTAAGACCCGAAACACTGATGCTGGGAATACACAGTAACCATAGAAAACCATGGGGAGAAAGCCTTTCTTCAATAGAGCAAGAACAAGAAAAGGCTAAAGAAAAACATTGCTCCTTAATGAAAAGTGAAGGGAAAGCAGGTCACAGAAATAGAGGCAGCCTCTATGTCCCTTCCTGTTTTTGGTATAAAAAGGAAGCAGGGCGGGGGGAGGGAGGAGGGCATGTAACAGAGGCTGGAGGGGACCTAAAGCTGTAGTCTGCAAAGTAGCACTCACTGACTGACACAAAGGAGGAGAAAAGGGTGTCACTTCCCACTAGGCTGGCGGAGGGGACAGGACTCCTCCCTTTGGGCCTGGGCCCCCGCAGGATGTCAGTTCCCACTAGGCTGGGGTGGGGTGGGGGGCAGAACTCCTCCACCCTTCATGTCTAGGTCCCGCCACCCCATACTTGATGGTGTTGTCCTTCTCCTTGCACTGCTGCTCCAACTTGAGAATCCTCTGCTTCAGCCCATTGACCACCTGCCAACAGAACACGCGCATGAAGCTGACAGTCCCCCAGCAAGCAGCCTCCCGAGCTTCGAGCTTCATCTGGAGATGAAGACTGTCCTGACCCTTCATCGAGATTAGGTGCCCTAGTCCCATGACCCCACCGCACTTCTCCCCAACCAGAGCACTTCCACACACGGCTGTCCTTCCTTCTGTAATAGTGTGTCTTCTCTCTGGACTGTGGGCTCAGTGATAGGGACCCTGCTTGGTGACAGGCCCAACAATGGCACTCGGTGCATGACGCTGAGTGACACACGGGAAACGAGGGGCTCCACTGGAGCAGGCATAACCATCAGCTATCAGCACACCAATAGGTACAGAACCTTCGCCTAACAAGCACGCTTAGGAGAGCAGGCAGGTTATCTGTTGGTTAGTTTAAAGCAAGGGAGCCACCACGATCACTACACAGAAAAATCCCTAGCCCAAGGAGCCCTGGTGGCGCAACGGTGAAACACTCAGCTGCAAACTGAAAGGTCGGCAGTTTGAACCCACCCAGTGGCTCCTTGGGAGAAAGACCTGGTGATCTGCGTTTGTAAAAGATTACAGCCTAGAAAACCCTATGGGGCAGTTCTACTCTGTTACATGAGGTCACTAGGAGTTGGAATTAACCCTATGGCATGCAACAACAGCAGCCCTAACCCTACGGCCACTCTGTTCACTTAAGAGTGGGCAGGGCTGACGGGGCCAGAACACAACTGGAAAGAGGCCCCGGAAAGGCCCTGAATGGAGTCCCTGGGGTGGAAGAAGCTCAGCCTGTCTCAGACTTCCTTCTCTGCTAACCTATTGATTTGGGAGGGAACACTTGTATATTCCTCTGAGAACATCCTTTTCTTTCTTTTGGGATAGCCAATCAACTTTTAAATTGTATTTTAAAGTAACTTTAAATTTTATTGAGAAAGCCAGTGAGTCTATAATGACAGGATAATCCTTTAGTAAATCAAATAGTTTTCTTGTATATGCATCTATGACTGTAAGCACATATATCCATATATATAATAAAGCACTTAGGGGACACAGTTACAGATACTTCTTAGACTTAACCAAACATCTTGCAAATTTGATTTTCTGAGTTTGAAGGATTAGGACCATAGTCAAGTGGGACATCTCAGTTAACTGTCATAATATAATTCATAAAGTTATGTTCTACACCCTAGTTTGGTGAGTAGCATCGGGAGTCTTAAAAGCTTGTTAGCAGCCATCTAAGATACAACTATTGGTCTCTACTCATCCACTGCAGAAAAGAAAGAAGGAAACTAAAGACTCAAGAAACTAGTTTACAGGAGAAATAGTCTACATGAACCACAGCTTCATCTACCCTGAAACCAGAAGACCTAGATGGTGCCCAGCTACCACTACTGACCATTCTAATCAGGGCCACAACAGATGGACCCTGATAGAATGGGAGAAAAGTGTGGAACAGAATCTCAAATTCCTAAAAACAAAAAAAATCAGACCAGACCTACCAGACTAGTTCAGACTGGAGGAATCCCGAGACTATTGCCCCGAGATACTCTTTAAATCTTGACCAAAACTAACCCCTGAGGCCACCTTGTGGCTAAACAATAAATTGACTCAAAAAATAATGAAAAAAAAAAAATTATACTGGAGTTCCTGGGTGGTACAAAGGGTGAATGTGCTCAGCTGTTAACCAAAATGTAAAAACAGAAACATTTTATTTTGGCTTCAATATGATAGCTAATATATTAGGACTCTAAAATATTTAAGCATAAATTATAACTCCTCACTATGAGTTAGAATCGACTCAATGGCAATGGGTTTTTAACCACTAAAAGTAGTGAGGTAATCGTGCTCGACTGCTAACCGAAAGGCTGGAGGTTGGAGTCCACCCAGAAGCACCCTGGAAGAAAGGCCTGGTGATCTACTTCTGAAAGGTCAAAGCCATTGAAAACCCTGTGGAGGCCAGTTCTACTCTGACACACATGGGGTTGCCATGAGTTAGAGTCAATTTGACAGCAGCTCATTTCTTAAATTATATCAGTAATACATGAATACATTTTCTTGTAGAAAAAAATTAAAACATTATAGATAAAGCTATAAAATACCCTTTGGCCCTGATACCCCTGCCCAAGTAAATACTGTTCTCAGCTTAGCGTGGGTCCTTACAGACCTCCTTATATGCGTGTACGCGTGTGGGTACCCTCTGAGACCGTGGTGTTTGGCTGCTGTTTACATAAATGGTACTGTACCGTTCATATCATTCTACAGCTCGCTTTTTTCACTCAACAGCCTCTCTTGGTGAACGACCTTGCTAGCTCCTATATATTTGTGTTATTCATCCACAGCATGAGCATATCACAGTCTATGTGCCCATTTCCCTACTGGTGGATATTTAGAGTGGGATCAACTTTTGTGGCCACAAACCCAGAAACCCCTGGCTGGGCCCCCTTGTGCATGTGTGCAAAGGTTTCTTGAGGATCGAGAATGAGAAGTAGAAATGTTCAATCACAGGCACAGACACTTTCAAGGACAATTTAGCAGTGAGTATTAAAATGAAAATAGCACATACCCTATGATCTAGATTTCTACTTGTCATCAACTTTACTAATGAAAATAACAAAAGATAGCATCAGAACAACAAAAACATAAAAGGCCCTTTCTCTATAAAAGTATCCATTATTTACAGAAGTTCATGTCCTCATCCAAATTAATCATGTAGACATATCTGTACGTAGCTGCACTGTTTAATATCCTTTTTACTTATGATTTTTTTCTTTAAATTGTGATTTAGGTGAAAGTTTACAGAGCAAATTAGTTTCTCATTAAACAGTTAATACACCAATTGTTTTGTGACATTGGTTGCCAACCCCACCAAGTATCAACACTCTCCCCTTCTCCACCCCAGGTTCCCTGTTTCCATTCATTCAATCTTCCTGTCCCTTCCTGCCTTCTCGTCTTTGCTTTTGGGCTGGTGTTCCCATTAGTCTTGTATACATGATTGAACTATGAAGCACATTCCCCATGTCCTCACGTGTTACTGTTGGCCCTACAGACTTGCCTAAATCTTCGGCTAAAGGGTGAACCTTAGGAGTGACTTCAGTACTGAGTTAAAAGAGTGTCTGGGGGCCATACTCTTGGAGTTTCTCCAGTCTCTGTCAGACCAGCGAGCCTGGTCTCTTTTTTTTTTTTTAAATGAATTTGAATTTTGTTCTGTATTTTTCTTCTGCTCTGTCCGGGACCCTCTATTTTGATCCCTGCCAGAGCAGTGGTGGTAACCGGGCACCGTCTAGTTGTTCTGGGCTCAGTCTGGTAGAGGCGTGGGAGTTGTGGTCCATTAGCGCTTTGGACTAATCCATCCCTTGTGTCTTCAGTTTTCTTCATTCTCCTTCGCTCCAGCCAGGATGGGACCAGTAGATGTATCTTAGATGGCTGCTTGCAGGCTTTTAAAACCCCAGTCACTACTGACCACAGTCAGATGTAGTACATTTTCTTTACAGACTATGTTATGCCAATTGAGCTAGATGTCCCCCACGACCAAGGTCCCCAGCCCTTGGCCTTGTAGCTCGGTGTCTCAGGGATGTGTTCTAAAGATGTTTTGATGTAACAGTATTCCGCTTTGAATGGCTTTTTATATTTTCCCCAACACTAGGCAGCTACAAATATCCTTATGTGGATGGTTTTCTCGATTGGATTATTTTGTTGAGACACAGACCTAAAAGGAGCAGTATTTGACAAATTGTACGTTCGGTTCTACAGATCACCACTTTCGCATGGCCATGCCAATATTGGTATGAATCAGTTGTGCTCATTTTGCTACTTTGAGTTGTGAGGTTGTACTCAGAGTAATTTAAAATCACTTCTTCATTCAGGCGTTGACTGCCAGGGGATGATGGGACCAAGAGAGACACACCACTGCCTTCACAGAACACACAGCCCCTTTCTCAGTTTCCTAATTTTAAAAATAGGGATGGACTTTAACCTTAAACCAAAAACATCCCCTGAAGCCTTCTTTAAACCAAACAGTAAGTTAGCTTCTTTGGTAGTCTGTCTTGCGCACTGTGCTCTTTTAAAGAACTATCTATCAAATTGATGACAGCAACTCGAACGGTTAAATAGGAAGCTTAAGGGGCAGTGAGTTTATGTTAATGGAGGAGGAACAACTTAGAAAAGGAGGGTGAGAGTGGTTGCACAACTCAAAGAATGTAATCCATTTCATTGAATTGCCCATGCGAAATTGTTGAATTGGTGTACGTTCTGCTGTGTACATTCTCAACAATAATTTAAAAAAAGGGGGGGGGGAGGGATTGAAGGTTCTATTACAAAACATCAAGTGAGATAATGTACATTTGCAAACTGTACAACTACACAACTTTTACAATTTGCTATTAACTAAAATATAGTTTATTATGAAAATATCGATTCATTCACACACGTTAAGTATTTACTATGTGCTATTCCAGGCACAGAACTGGGTTTTAACCACTTAGTCGAAGCAGATTGTCTTCCTTTATAGATTTGTAGAGTCTTTATATATTCTGGATAAAAAATTTTGTTGTATTTATCCATCACGCCACCCCCGCCCAGCCACGTGACACTGATTTAGCTTTCATTTTAGTTTTATGTGTTTGTTATGCAAATTTTAGTTTCATGTTATCAAACCCATTAATCATGTCCCTAATATTGTTTTATTTTTTGTCTTCAGTAATCTCAAAAGTCCATCTCTTCCAGTTTTCTTTTGGTATTTTAGGTTTTTTTTTAATGTACTTCCTTGACTCATATAAGTTGATAGTGATACATTTTTCTCCAACTGCTATTGTCTATTGACACAGCAGTGCCAATATAATGGCTCGTTTCCATCATTTTGCTTCATTCCATCTGTTATATATTATTATGTAATACACAGGAGGTGTCTGTATCTATTTTAAGGTCTTCACTCTATTCTGTTGGCTTGTTTCTCTGTTTTAAATCAGTATTTTTTTTTTTTTTTTTTTTTAAGTATGATGGAGAAGTCCCCCACTGTGACTATTATTTTTCTACAACACGTTTTTCGGCACTTGTGGCAGGTAAGCTGCTTGGCCTCCCGCAAACTCCTCAGGACAACTCCTGAAGCATCTTCTTAGAATCCCCCTGGTTCCATGCAGGGCAGTTTTAGAACACTCTGAGCCCTTCCCCTGTATCTGTTCCTCTTCTTGGAATCCCCCTGGTTCCATGCAGGATGGTTTTAGAAAGTTCTGAGCCCTTCCCCTGTATGTTACTCTTCTTGTGCAAGTTCTTTAGTGAAAAGATGTCTCTCAACTGAAGGTGGTTTTTAGAAAGGTTATCGGTCTTGCTGGAGACTGTACTCACCCAGCCAGTATCAGGCCTTTTCTCTGCCAAAGTCCGAACGAAATCTGAACCCTGTGACAAGCAGATTGAGAAATAAGACGATATGTGGTTTAGCCTTTCCCCCATTCCTCCTAAGTTTCCCGCGCCCACTGTAGGGCACCACCACAGAGGGAGTGGGACTGAAACTTACTCTGGTTGGTTCCAAAAGCTGCTCTATCTGGCGATCCTTCCTGCTGTTTTCCTCTTCTAAGCGCCGGAGCTTTGCTCTCATCAGATCCACGTCACTTTTCTGCATGTGTAATGACTGAAGAAAAAAAGGACACACACACACACACACACGCACACGCACACACACAATGCATACATAAACAGCCGGGTGAAACATGGGGCTGGGAAGCAATTTTAAAAGCTACGTGGTTCCTAATCTGGGTGGCGGGGTGGGGAGGTCTGGTGGTCCTGTGTCTGAAGGGCACTACTGACACTGGGGGGTGGGGCCGGGATGCTAAATGCCCTGCAATGTGCAGGATCGTCCCATGCAGCTAAGAACTCTCCCACCCAAAATGCCAATGGCACCCCCGACACACCCTGCTTCACAGATTGTACCAAGAAATCGACACCGTAGCCATTGATTCTGGCTGGTGCCAATGTCAGATATTCTCCTCCACTGCCCACATAAGAAAGCCCATTTTTGTCAACCATATATCATCAGAACTCATCAGAGGCTAATATCCACTTAAAATTCTCATCCTCATCTAAAGCTCAGTTGGCAGAGCAGTGGTCCTCAAACCCTCATCTGTGGGTGAACTTTTCTCCAGTCATGGTGAATTGAGGGGGAAAAAAAAGACTGTGTAGCCAATTGTTTATAAAACTAAGTTTATTCAATTAAAACAACTCTCCTGCATTTTGAAATTATATCCCTTCTGCTATTTGGACTTACGTAGTCCTTTATGAAATGGTGACAAGGTATTTTTAATTTTTGTTTTTAACATCCTCACTTGAAAAAGCTTTGTCTTAGTCTGTGAAATCCAAAAACCTAACAAGTATGAGGTTAAGACAGTCCTCTCAAAGCCTGGTTGTTCATGTCCATGCAGGTCACTTCATGCCACAGAAACTGGCCAGCATCAGCCTACATCTGAACACCAGCCAGTTAGCTTGCAAAGAGCCTTCTCCTTATAAGGGGCTTACGGAGCTCAAAAGAGAGACTGGATATCTGAGCAAAACCAATTGGCACCACTAGAAAAAGAACTTAAGCTCATATCCCAGTTCGGGCAGGCTTGGAGCATCAACCACACTTCCAAAAGCTGGCAAGATTGGGCGTACCACTAGAGGGCGTAGTACATAATTGGCACTCAGTAAGTGTTTATTGAATAAATTAATGCATAGTCATTGGGAAAAATAAGAGATCTAATAAATAACAGGATTTCTGTTTCTGGAAAGATGGAGTGACTCACTTTCCACTATTTCTCCCGCCTGGTACAGTTAAAAACCCTAAACACTGTATATAAAACAAACATAAGACAGCTCTGAAAGGTGGAGAGAAGAAGGTGGACCAGCCAGGAGCCCTGGGCCTGAGGAATGACATGGTGGTGCGTTCCCTCAGTTTTCTTTTTGCCTCATGTATCCTGGTCTGGGTGCTGAAGAAGTCAACAACCTGGAAAAGCCAACAGGCACAGACAACAAAAGCCCCAAGAACAGCCTCTTCCTGAGGACCAGGAGAGGGGCAGCCTAGCAAAACAGAAAACTTTTAGACAACAGCTCTATCCAGCCAAACACCACAGAGAAAACTGTGGCCCCACCTCCACCAGCACAGGCTGATGGGGGAGCCCAGACTCCACCCTCACCAGGCTGTATCAAGGCTTCCCTCCCCATCCTCACTTGGAGGGTGTTTGAGGAGGCCTGCTGGGGAGTCACGACTTACATCGCCCAGTGGTAATGAGGCCACACACCCTTTACGGTGTGAGAAGCAGTATGAAGCACCCCTGCCCCGCCCAGGGGTGGCATCAGTGGAGGCCTAGTGAGGAGCCTGAACCTGTACCCACCCAGCAGTGACGAAGAGCCCCTCCTCAAGTGGGTGTCAATGAAGGTGGAGAGGGGAGCCTGGCCTTCCACCCCCACCTGGCAGTAACAAAGTGGTGTCCCCCTTCATCCACCGCAGTGGAGTCAGAGGAAGCCTGCTAAAGCACAAGACTTCAGTGGGATGCAGAATCTCATTATGTAACTTCCTAAATGTCCGAGTTTCAACAGAAAAAATTTATCATACCAAGAACCAGAAAAATTTCAACTTGAATGAGAAAAGACAATCAACAGATGACAACACCAAGAGGACACAGACATCAGAATACTGTGACAAGGATTTAAAGCAGCCATCATAAAAATGCTCATTACCAAATATGGACACGCTTGAAGCTAAATTAAAAAACACAAAGTCTCAGCAAAAAATAGAAGATATAAAGAAGAAAATGGAAAGTTTCGAGCTGAAAAGTACAATAATCAAAATTAAAAAACTCAATGATGGGCTCAACAGCAGAACGGAGGGGACAGAGGAAAGAATAGTGTAAACTAGGTGATAGAACAACAGAAATTACCCAATCTGAACAAAAGGAAATAGACTAAAAAATAAAAACAGAGCCTCAGGGACCTGGGGGATTATAACAAAAGAGTTATAATACTCTCTTAGTGAGGCTGAGAGAGTATCTGAAGACATAATGGCTGAAAATTTTCCAAACTTGGCAAAAGACATAAACCCACAGATTCAAGAAGGTGAGCAAAACCAAAATAGGATATACCCAAAGAAATTCACGCCAAGACACACCATAGTTAAATTTCTAAGACTAAATCAAAGAAACAAATCTTGAAAGCAGCGAGAAACATGCCTTACCTATAGGAAGAAAATAATTCAAACGACAGTGGATTTCTTATCAGAAACCATGGAGGCCAGAAGGAAGTGATACAACTTGTTTCAAGTGCTGAAAGAGAAGAACTGTCAACTCAGAATTCTATATCCAGCAAAAATATCCTTCAGAAATGAAAGGAAACCAAGACATTCTCAGATGAAGGAAAACTAAGAAGAGTTGTCACCTGGAGACCTACCCTAAGACAATAGCTGAAGGAAGCTGTCAAAACAGAAAGGAAATGTTAAAAGAAGGAATCTTGGAACATTAGTAAGGAAGAAAAAACAATGGAAAAGTAAAAATATGGGAAAATTTAACAGATTTTCCTTTTCCTGTTGAGTTTTCTAAATTACATTTGATAGTAGAAGCAAAAATTATAAAATTGTCTAATGCGGTTCTCAATGTATTGCTGTTGTTGTTAGCTGCCATCAAGTTTATTCTGACTCACGGTAACTCCATGTGTTACAGAGTAGGGTTTTCTTGGTTGTAATCTTAATGGAAACATATTGCCAGGCCTCTTCTTCCACACTACCACTTGGTGGGTTCGAACCTCCAACCCTTAGGCTAGCAGTTGAGTGCAAACTGTTTGTACCACCTAGGGACCTTATATAGAGAAAATATTTAAGACAACTGTACTATAAATATAGGGTTGCTATGAGTTGGAACTGACTTGATAGCAATGGGTTGGGTTTTTGTTTTTTTTGGTACTATAAATTTAGGAGAGTAAAGAGACATAAAAGGAGGTAAAGTTTCTACACTTGAACTGATAAAATGTTGACACCTGTGGTCTGTGGTCAGTTACATATATATTACATAATATCTAGAACAACCATTAAATAAGCAATACAAAAAAATACACTAAAAAATACTGTAGATCAAAATGGAATTCTCAAAACTGTTCAAGTAAACCACAGGAAGGCAAGAAAAGGAAAACAGAAACAAAAAAAACAGAGCAAACAAAATAATAAAATGGGAGACTTAAACTCTAACATTATCAATAATTACATTAAATGTAAATGACCTAAATAAATCAATTAAAAGAGAGATTGACAAAGTAGATAAAAAAAATGATACATCACCAAAGAAGACATTCAGGCAGCTAACAGACACATGAGGAAATGCTCGCGATCACTAGCCATTAGAGAAATACAAATCGAAACCACAATAAGATACCATCTCACCCCGACATTACTGGCACGAATCAAAAAAACAGAAAATAACAAATGTTGGAGAGGCTGTGGGGAGACTGGAACTCTTATGCACTGCTGGTGGGAAGGCAAAATGGTAAAACCATTTTGGAAAACGATACAGCGCTTCCTTAAAAAGCTAGAAATAGAAATAGCATATGATCCAGTGATCCACTCCTAGGAATGTATCTTAGACAAATAAGAGCCATAACTCGAATAGACACATGCACACTCATGTTCACTGCAGCATTGTTTACAATAGCAAAAAGATGGAAACAACCTAAGTGCCCATCAACAGATGAATGGTTAAACAAACTATGGTACATACACACAATGGAATACAATGCAACGATAAAGAACAACGATGACTCTGCAAAACATCTCACAACATGGATGAATCTGGATGGCATTATGCTGAGTGAAATAAGTCAATCACAAAAGGACAAATATTGTATGAGACCACTACTATAAAAACTCATGAAAAGGTTTACACACAAAAAGAAACAATCTTTGATGGTTACGAGCGAGAGGAGGGAAAAACACTAAATAGACAATAGGTAAGTGGTAACGTTGGTGAAGGGTAAGACGGTACACAATACTGGGGAAGTCAGCACAACTTGACCAAGGCGAGGTCATTGAAGCTCCATAGACACATTCAAACTCCCTGAGGGACCGAGTTACTGGGCTGAGGGCTGGGGACCATGGTCTTGGGGGACAACTAGCTCAGTTGGCATAACATAGTTTATAAAGAAAATGTTTTACATCCTACTTTGGTGAGTAGCATCTGGGATCTTAAAAGCTTGTGAGCAGTCATCTAAGATACTCCACTGGTCCCACCCCGTCTGTAGCAAGGGAGAATGAAGGAAACCAAAGATACAAGTAAAAGATTAGTCCAAGGGACTAATGGACCACAACTACCACAGCCTCCATCAGACTGAGTCCAGTACAGTTAGATGGTGCCTGGCTACCACCACCAACTGCTCTGGCAGGGATCACAATAGAGGGTCCTGGACAGAGCTGGAGAAAAATGTAGAACAAAATTCTAACCCACAAAGGAAAAAAAGAAAAGACCAGACTTACTGGTCTGACAGAGACTGGAGAAACCCCGAGAGTATGGCCCCCGGACACTCTTTTAACTCAGTACTGATGTCACTCCTGAGATTCACCCTTCAGCCAAAGATTAGACAGGCCCATAAAATAAATCAAGATTGAATGGGCACACCAGCCCAGGGGCAAGGACGAGAAGGCAAGAGGGGACAGGAAAGCTGGTAATGCGGAACCCACGGTTGAGAAGAGGGGAATGTTGACATGTTATGTGGTTTGACAACTAACGTCACAAAACAATATGTGTATTAATTGTTTAATGAGAAACTAATTTGCTCTGTAAACCTGCATCGAAAGCACAATATAAAAGATACAACAATACACTGTCAAAAAGAAACTCATTTCAAAGGGAATGATATAGATAGGCTGAAAATGAAAGAATGAAAAAAGATACATTAAGCAAGCATTAATAAAAAGAAAGCAGATAAAGTAGACTTCAGAGCACAGAAAATGACCAGAACAGAGAGGGACATTACATAATGATAAAAGGGTCAATCCACCAAGAAGACAGCAATCCTAAATGTGTAGGCACCAAAAAACACAGTTATAAAATACATGAAGCAAAAACTATAAAACTGAAAGGAGAAACAGACACAATTACAATTGGAAATTTCAATAGCCCTCTCTCAACAATTGATAAAACTACTCGACAGGAAATCAGCAAGAATACAGAAGAACTCAACATCATCAACCAACAGTATTTAATTGACACTTACAGAACACTCCACCCAAATAACAACCGAATACACTTTCTTAAGTGCACTCGGAACATATACCAAGATGGACCATATCCTGGGCCAGAAAGCAAACCTCAATAAATATAAAAGAAATAAAATCATTCAGAGTGTGTTCAATGGCAACAATGGAATCAAACTACAAGTCAGCAACAGAAGAGTAACAGGAAAATCTTCAAATACTTGGAAAAACAATACACAAATAATACACAGGTCAAAGAGGAAGTCTTGGGGAAATAAAAATATATCGAGCTGAGTGGAAATGAAAATACAACATATCAAAATTAGCAGGACACAGCTAAAACAGTACTGAGAGGAAAGAATGACTGATGCATGCAACAACTTGGATGCATATCAAGGGCACATGCTGAGTGAAAAAAGCCAATCTCAAAAGGTCACATACTGTATGATTCCATTTATGTAACATTCTCAAAATGACAAAATTGTAGAGATGGAGAATAAACTAGTGGTTGTCAGGGGTTAGCGATGGTGTGGGAGGAGGGGAGTGCATGTGACTATAAAGAAGTAGCACGTGAGATCATCGTGGTGACGGAATATTTCTATATATTGGTAGTAGTGATTACACGAATCTATGCATGTGATAAATGGCACTGAACTACATACACACCTTGTACCAATGTCAATTTCCTGGTTTTGATGTCATACTACAGCTATGAAAGATGTAAACCATCGGAAGAAACTACTATTTTTGCAACTTTCTGGGACTCTATGGGGCTCTGGTGGTGCAGTGGTTAGCAGCCAAGCTAAAGGTCAGCAGTTTGAATCCACCAGCTGCTCCCTGGAAACCTTGGGGCAGTTCTATTCTGTCCTATAGGGTCGCTATGCGTCGGAATTGACTTGATGGCTATGGGTTGGGACTCTAAATTATTTCAAAATAAGTTTGAAAAGAATGGTCTGCACTTACTGACCTTTTACTATATGCAGGCACTGAACTAAAACACTTTCCATGGATTATTTTATTTAATCCTCACAACAACCCTATGAAATAGGTACCATTATTATCCCCATTTTTCAGTAGGAAACTGAGGCATCACTTGCCACAGAAAACAACTCTGATGCTCAAGACCCCTGATCGACAGAGCACTGAACATCAAGTTCTCTTCCCTCTGAATTTGGAAGACTGGGCTCATTTTATCCAGAAATCCACGATGCCAAATTTGAGTAAAGCCAAAGATCCATTTCCAGCCCCGAGAAGATTCCTTCTGAGACAGCTGCTATGGCAACTGCTCAGTCTCAGGGACTCTTGGAGTTCACTAAGTACGCTCTCCAACCAAAACAAGAATTCTTTCTATGATATCACTGATGCGTAGTCATCCAACCTCTACTTACCTTAAGGACGGGGAGCTTGTCTTGTCACCAGGCAGCCACTTTCACTGTTGGACAGCTCTAGTGGTTAGACTGTTCTTTTCATCCTACGCTAAAATCTGAGACAGTTCCTCTGGAGCAGCAGAGAAGGGCTCTGTCTTTCACACAATGGCCATGTTCTCCATCAGCTCTCTTTGGGCCAAGCAACCTAGCTTCTTCCCGTGCTCCTCACACAAGGTGGTTTCCGGACTCCTCAACGTGCTTTGGACATGCTGGCTGCCAGCACCCTGCTTACACCCTGACCCCAGGACTCCTGATGTGCTGGGCTAGTAGGGATAGCAGTCTACAAACAGACTAAAATCATGAAAGGGAATGAACCCAGAGAACTTCTCCTAGGGACATAAAAGTATTTAGAGATGTTAAAAAATAAGTGTGACAGTGGTGATGGTGATGAAATACTTCAATGCAATTACACTTGAGTAAGTGGGAGACAGCACAGGGTAATAAAAAGAGCCTTGGTCTTAGGAGTCAGATGACACTGATGTAAATCCTGGTTCTGCTACTGATCAACCCTGGGCAGATCACTAACCTCTGAGTCTCAAGCTCATCACCAGAAAACAGGTGTAACACCTGGCCCTATCTCACAGAGTTTCTAGAAAGACCAGTTGAGATAGGGCATGTGAAACATCTCATCCCCACGCAAGAATTACCCAAATGGAAGGTTACTGATAATAACACCACCAAATGACCCTATCCTAACACCAAATCTCAGGCTGAAAGAGAACTACAAGGTCCATCGAGCCCCTCCCAAGTCCTTCAGTGCCCTCTTCAATGTCTCCTCCATCCTGCAGGAGAAAGTGGAGCCCAGATGGGATCTGAGGTCCACTACAGCCTTCCGTGGAGCTGGGGCATGGCCTCTGAGTAACTGGAGTCACTTAGCTCCCAGGCACCGGGCAGGACTCGGACTAAGGTGTGGCCCTAAAGCTTTCATTTGTTCTACACGGACGCTTCTTGGCATTGACTTCTACCCCACTGTTTCAAGCCAGTAAAGAACAGATAGAATCACTACCTTCTTCAACTCGATAATCTCATCATACATGTCTTCTTTCTCTCTGTAGGCGGGGGTCCCAGGGACATGACCTAGAGGAAGAGACACAAACCTCTTTAAAGATTATCTGAGGGGAGAAAGGGTTTTTGGCTTTACCTTAAGGAAGGCCTGGAAGCTAATAAAATTATCCTTTAAAAAAAAGGGGGGAGAATAAAAAAGGAGGGCAAAAATAGTTCAACATTTTTAGTTTAATCAAGATACTTTCCCAAGAAGCAAACCTATTGTTGCTGTTGACTCAATTCTGACTCATAGCGACCCTACAGGACAGAGCAGAACTGTCCCATAGGCTTTCCAAGGCTGAAGTCTTTATGGAAGCAGACTGCCACCTCTTTCTCCTGTGGAGTGGCTGGTGAGTTCAAACTGCTGACCTTTCGGTTAGCAGCTAAGTGCTTAACCACTGTGCCACCAGGGCTCCTTTCCCAAGAAGCAAGGAAATAAAAAATCATTGTGATACAGCAAGATGAAGCAAAAAAACAGTAAACAGAGTTTAATGTAAGTAACAGGATTAAAGAAGGGAGTCATGGAAGGAAAAGTGATATGTTGTATTTTAAACAGCAAACACAAAATGCAAAGCCTATCACAACACATATTCCAACATAAAAACAACAAGATTTTACTTTTGTTTTAATATGATATCTAAAACATTAGGACTCTAAAATATGTAAGCCTACAATATAACTCCTAGCCACTAAAAGCAGTAAGGTAATTGTGCTTGGATGCTAACCAAAAGGTTGGTGGTTCGAGTTCACCCAGAGGTACCTTGGAAGAAAGTCCTGGCAATCTGCTTCTGAAAGGTCATAGCCACTGAAAACCCTATGGAGCACAGCTCTACTCTGGGGTACAATGAAAAGGTTTTCAGCATGCTCTGGTCTGGAAGTTGAGCTGTTCTTCCTAGGAAGGTCTATAAGGAAAGACAGTTAAAGAATAAAGACGAGAGAGGAAGACGGACAAGGAAAACTGACTGATTCTTTCCAGTGGGATTCAGGCTTTATATTATTATTTCCAAGTTTTATTCTCATTTTTAACAATGTTCATACAATAAACTTAAAGAAGACCCTAGGTGTGGGAGGTAGGCAAAATCAAATTGTGGGAAGACTCTGCTGCCCACTTTATGAAAGCTACTTCTTGAGGGCAGGAGGGGTTTTTCAGGAGTCACGCCTAGGCCGTTCTATAATCTCCTACTGCTGGAGTGAGGACGGGAAGCAAAAGAAGCCTTTGTCAAAGGACGCCCTCCAATCCACAAGTTTTCCTCGCTACTTTTCATGTCAGGACCTTGTCCCATCACATGCTCACCGTTGCTGGCAGAGCGCCTGAAGTTGGACCTCCGCATTCTCAGAGCTTCGGTCAGATAGTCGGAGGTGCAGCTGGGGGGGCTGGTCCATGCCTGCTCCCAGGTCAGGTCTGGTTTCAGGGGTTGGGTCAAACTTCCTGGTTTGAATGTGCATGGATTTAATATGACAGGTACAAGCAAATACAATGGAAGATTTTGCCTCTAGTGATCAACCTTCCTGGGTTGAAGAAAGCTTAAGTCAGCCAGCAGGGATTGGCTGTTAGTGAGGTGCCAACAAATACTTAACCACCAGCTCTCCAAGAAAACAGGTCTGATTTGTAGCATTTGCTGATTTCCATAGTGTAAATATTCCCACCATATCCAATTTCAAGCTGTCAGTGTGACATCAACCAGCTCACAAAATTCCTAAAAATTTAAGTCGGCTCTTGTAAGCCAGGAGGGGTCAGCTCAGCACCCACACCAGCAGGGCTCAAACCATCTGAGACAGCAGAGGCTCAGCACCCACACCAGCAGGGCTCAAACCATCTGAGACAGCAGAGGCTCAGCACCCACACCAGCAGGGCTGAAACCATCTGAGACAGCAGAGACTCAGCACCCACACCAGCAGGACTCCAACCATCCGAGACAGCAGAGGCTCAGCACCCACACCAGCAAGGCTCCAACCATCCGAGACAGCAGAGGTGGCAGTGACATACACACAGAAACCATAGGAAACCACAAATACTAAAGACTAGAAGATGAAAAACAATGTAATTCAAGAGATTCTATCAAAAATTCTATCTCAAATCACCATCCACAATTCCTAAGATTCTTCTACTAAGCAGGAAGGGTGTACATCAGCACAACCACATACCTTGTTTTGAAGTACTGAGCCACAGCTTCTGCGGGGTCAGGGACATCCTACTGCTCAGAGGCATGCTCCCCGCTGTCCTGAGAGACCTCCAGGATGCCACGTTTCTAGGCTTAGAGTAGTAAGGTGACTCTGAAAACCAACACATGGTCTCTGAGTTACAAAATATCAACACCCCCCCAATGTATGTGCTTTAGAAAGACAGAAATGGTAAAATATCCACAAGGATATAATACTCTAGATAAAAATACTCTGACCAAAAAAAACCACAGTTACGATACATACATACATGTGTATATACACATACGTACATACACGTACTTGCATTTCTCTTTTAATTTTTATTGTGAAGAAAAGCAACGGTAAATTTAAAATAAAAATATAAACCCATAACTCCACCAATATTACAATATTTACTGTAATTTCCCATCCAATTTTTTTCAGGCACATATGTATTTTTACATAATCGCAATCAGTGAACGTTCAGTTTTATACTCTTTATACTTAACATCTGCAGTGTGATTAATTACTTTTGTGTGTGCCCTTCCTAGCCATGGTCTTGTAAGCTCCCACCCAGGTGACTGGGTGGACTGTGTGATAAGGTAATTGTGGCCCACCAAGGAGATTGGTCAGTTTTGCCTTAAAAGAGAGCCAACTCCAGAGCAGAGAGGAGGATCCTACCACCAGCAAGAACAGCCAGGAGCTAAGAGCGTGTCCTCTGAACCCAGGATCCCTGTGCTGAAAGGCTCTGGGAAGGAGATGAATGAGAGAGGGAGCAAGCTTTAACCCTGAAGACAGTGAGAAGTGGTGGCAGGAGAGACCTGGCAGCAGGAGATGGCACTGTGGGCTTCCAGAAAGCTGAGTGCCTTTGGGAAGAGGCCTAGGGCCAGGGAGTGGCATGCCTGCAATCACAGTTGAGAAGAGGCTATCCTGATCAAAGAACGGTATCCTGAGCACTCCTGAGCCTGAACTGTTAACATGGTACTTTCGGATACAGGGCATTGAAGAGCAACACACAGGACGCCCGTGGTCCTGTTCTCACGGCACTGATCGAGCAGACAGAAGCCCCCTGAGTAGATGTTCTGAGGCTGTCACAGGAGCAGAGGGCGGGAGCTGGGCCTGGATAGGCGTTGGGGTGCGTACCCAAGGAACTAGTAGCTGAGATCTGAGAGACAAGGGCGCCAGGGTCTGAGGGCACCACCAAAGGGGGAAACACCTGGGACTGGAGGACCAAGAGATGGCGGGAAGGAAGGGCCAGGGAGAGAGCACTATGGACAGAAAGCATGACCCCCTACATGTTTAGTGCTTTTGGAGTTTTGTCCTTTCTAAATTATGTGAAAAACAACCCTGACACTTACAGAAACCGAGGTAAAAAGAATAAGATGATTAATATTTTCAACACTGAAATCATTGACTTTCAGTAAGAATAATGGAAGATGGTCTAATATTTACCTTAGAGACATTCTAGCCAAAAAGAACTTAAACGAAAGAGCTCCAAAATGAGAAGGCTCAAAACACAAACATCCACACTTTTACCTGTTTTTTGACTTTATAACATCAACCCTCAATTTTCTCCACAGAAGGAGGGGAAGAACATCAAAAATCCAAATTTCTAGATGATTTTTTTCTAATGTTTGTACTGGTTTGGAATAGATAACATGCTTCCTTTTCTTTGCAGGCATGTACCTTTCTAAATATGCATCCAAATTAAATATGAAAATTAATTTGTATTCCTTGTGTGTATACATACATTTATGATATGTATGGCACAATATTTATAAAACATATACAAAAGTATATACACATATAGTTGTTACTTGCCGTCAAGTCAATTCTGACTCATGTCAATTCTATGTGGTACACAGAAGAACTGCTCCATAGGGTTTTCAAGGCTATGACATTTCAGAAGCAGATCGTCAGGCCTATTTTCTGAGGTGCCTCTGGGTGGGTCTGAACCATCAACCTTTCAGTTAGCAGTCCAGGACTTAACTGTCTGCACCACGCAGGGACTACTACATATACACATACAGACGATGAAGTCAAGGAAGGCCACAGGTTTTTGGGTAGTAGAAGGAAGTCAATCTAGTATTCAAAGTGTGTCAAAAAAAAAACAAAAAAAATCAAAAGCACAAGATTCACATATGGACAACAGGGCACTAGAGCAACATTAGAAGGACAAGGTCATGACTCCAGGCCTTGGCGCCACCAGACTCAGCCCCAGCTCTGCAAGGCCCCCAACAAGGAGTCAGCCCCTTGAACCCTGCCAAGAAGGCATGCGATGGTTAAGATTGTGTGTCAACTTGGCTGGGCCATGATTCTCAGTGTTTTAACGTGATCACTCCCAAGATTGAATATACTGTGAGTAGCCAATCAGACTAAAGGGAGTCTCCTTAGGGATGTGGCCTGCATCTGAATATAAGCAGACATTCTGGCTTTTTGCTCACTCTGGATCCTGTGGCTGCCTCCTGTCGTCTCATCTCTGGTTCTTGGGACTTCAGCTGTCAGCTTATCTGCTGAACTTGGGATTCGTCGATCTTCACAGCCTGTGAGCGGAGCTCTGCTCTCCGGCCTGCCAATCTTGGGCTCACCAGCCCCTGCAGCTATGTGAATCAGGAGAAACCTTGTGGTCTTGCCTGCTGATCTCAGAATTCGCCAACCTTCACAGCCTGTGAACGGAAGCCTTGCTCTCCAACCTGCCGATCTTGGGCTTCGCAGCTTCTGCGGCTGTGTGACTTGGGAGAGACCTCTACCCTGATCCACGGACTTGGGATGTTCTAGCCTCTACAATCACATGAGCTGTTTCCTTGATATAAATCTCTCTATATATATACATATATTCATACGCTTTACTGGTTTTGCTTCTCTAGAGAACCCAGCCTAAGACAAGGCATTTCCATGGACGAAGCTGTCACTCTCCTTCTGAGGATGATGACCAGAAGAATTCTGCTAGCAAAATATGCCCAGTGGCAGTCCAAAAGGAAAAAACACAAGTGAAATTTCCATCTGGTCTTGGAAAGACAACACTGCTCTCATGCGGCCCCCTGATGAGCAGCTATGACCCTCAGGGATGATTGCTGAGATTAAAAAGTCCTTTAACAGGTCACATACAAAACTTAGGGGGCAGTGAGTTCATGCTAACAGGGGAGGAACAATTTGGAAAAGGAGGATGAGAAAGGTAGCTCAACTTGAAGAATATAATCAATGTCACGGAATCATATGTGTAGAAATTGATGAACTAGCGTTATGTTCTGCTGTGTATATTCTCAATAACAACAAAAAATTAACTATTAAAACAGAAAAAAAAAAGTCTTTTCTTTAACTTTGACAGCATTCAGAAGAGTTACACTCTCTGGGAAAAAGCAGAGTTAAGCACTTTGGGAAAGAAAGAAGCAATACATCTTATTGGACAGCTCAATGGAAGAACGGAAGGATACCATCAGGGGTCTTCACCCTCCTGCCCCTTGCTGAACTTCATCCAACTGGAAAGTTCCATGAGAGCTCACTCTCCCAAGATTCCAACAAAAAATTGGAGCCAATTGGTTGAGATGTTTTGTCTCAATTATCCTAACTATACAAAGAAGAAATAGTTTTGATCTTTCTCCCAGGGTACCAGGGAAGGGCAGCTTTGAAAAAAACATTTTCAGAATTAAAACACAGAAATCAGAGGGGCAGGGAGGCCTGGGTCGTACTTACTTGGTGATGTGGGTGGAGGTTTGTGGACACTTTTCCTTTTTGCTTTCTGAAAGAAAGAAGAAACAATGTGAGACGTGTGGAGCCTCCTTGAGCTCCCAGGAGGGTCTGGGCGGTGAGATGTGTCAAGTGTTCAGGAGGGGCCAGAGGGAGCGCTAGAGCAATACGAGGGGACGTTAACTCAGCTGAGCCGTGAGAAGAGGAAGAAACACAGGGCACAGGGAGACGAGCACCCGAGAAATGGGATCAGGCTATGGGCTTGCTGAACCAGGGCTCCATGGCGCTCCCCTGTCCCTAGTTCTCATCAGAATGAGGGGCGTGGCCAGTTGTGAAATCAGACAGAGGATACCATGCAAAGGGTCCATTTCTGCCACCCAAACTGTCCTCCCCAGCCAGCTCTGGAGCAGGGTGAGTAACTTGGCTTACTGGGGCAGATTTAGCAAGATGAGACCCAGAGAATCCGTTCAATGTAAATTTCATTACAGAAGAAAAGCCGACAGAGGAATTGCCCTGCCTGGAATCCTGACTTCTGTCACACGCATGATGCCAAGAGCAGGGCTGGCACAGGTCTGGTCCTACTGCTGAGTAGTTACGTGGCCTGGAAATGAGAGACCCTTCCCAAGCCTCACGTCCTCATCTGCCTCACAGAGGACAGAGAAGTCCCGGCATCAGTCAGCCCCTCCCTGCCTTGCTAGGAGAAACACCGTGCTCCACGCACCGTGTCAGCTGGATCCTATCTGGGGTCAGTGTGGTCCCTACCCCTCCTGGAGTATCTCAGGCCCATGTTTTAAGCAGAGCTGAGGGATAATTCTCAGCCTTCCAGAGGTCCTTCCCTCACCCTGGACAATGAACCTGCTGCGTCTCTTTCAGTCTACAAGTGGAGCTAAGGGAGACTGAGAACTCCTGGGGCAGCTTTATTCCAACTGAACTTGCTGTGGTTTGCTAGGATTGCATCGGCTTTAAGACGTGCTTCTCTCGGCTCTTCTTTCCCTACAAGTGCCATCAGCACGCTTCACTTTCTACTCATGAGAGCTTTCCAAACACACCCTGCAAGGCCGGGCTGGGGTCACAGTGTGGCCGCAGGGTCTGACTACTTGTGCTTTCCAGGCTGGCTCCCACGCTTGAGTCCAGGCTGCCCAGTTACCACATGGCTCAGCTTCAGCAGCAGCTGCCAGAGGACCTTCCCCCTTCCCACAGCAGCTGCTCTGACTACGCCTCCTATGCTCTTCTCCCTTCCCTGTGTGTCAGCACAGGGTGGGCCCAGGGTGGGGGACCCAGACAGAGGCAGTAAGGAACTTGTCATCGCTCTCAAATGCACTCTGCTCAGAATGACTCCTAGGTGAAAGTTTTAAAATTATAATCACAGTTATTTAAACCCAACTTGGTGGTACCTAACAACAACAACAAAGGCTTGAATCTTTTCAAATACCAACTAGTGTTCTGAATTTGTACTTCAGCTCTAAACACAGTATTATGGAGAACGGCCTGTTTCACACGTCTAAGTAACATCAAAAAGGGCAAAATAACCAGCTGGACTAAGCCATTAACTCCTAATCATACTCACTGTCTCAAAGTCAGAGTCAAAGGTAACTGCAGAAAGACTGTCATCTCCCTGGAAGAAGAGAGCAAACATCGTCACATTAAGGCATCTGCTTGGTTTCAACAGTCAGACTTACAAAAACGCAAACAGCCAGTCAACAGTTGCCGAGGCAGAAACCCAATACACCCGACTCAGAGGACACTTGCGACGGGGCACACAGGCCGTGGCCGGTTGATTCGGTCTCATCCGAAGAACTGAAAGGCATGAGTGGGGAAAACAAACTGAAAACCCCGCCTGGGAGGCCTGCTGTTGGTCTGTCAACCCGGCAACACTGTTCCCACAGATGGACTGTGCGCTTTGAGGGAAAAACAGTTCCTGGTTAAAAGCATTTCGTTTTCACCATGTTTAAACACTCCAAGTCTTAACTCATCTTCACATCAAAGCACAACGAACTTGTGACTGTCTTAGGCTCATCAATACATGGGTTATTAGGAGAGCTGGACATTTGGGTTTATAAAGGTTTCTGCCTTCTTACTCCAGGGACTCTGCCCTGGGCCCAGGGAGTAAAACAAAACCTGTCCAGTCTAATGTTAGCACAGGGTGCCACAGAACAAAGGGACTTTCCCAAGAGAAGAATGTTTCTGTGTTAACTCATTTCCTCAAGTGTAAATCCTAAAAAGAGACAAAGCAGACATTACAAAAAAAAAAATCCCTTCAGAATAATGTATAGTTGATTTATAACGTTGCTACTAGAAGTGAGGACTGAATACCCGTTATGAACAATAATGCTCTATCTCAACGGGGGTGGCAGTAATTATGTTTCAGGGGATCCAACTTGTCTCTGGGATAGCTGAATTCATGCAACATCATGAGACTTTACTGCATTCTGAAAAACACATGTATCATTTTAAAGGTTAACATTATGCAACAACTCCACTGGCAGTGTGCAACTTCATCAGAGACGTAGGGCAGAACTATAAAATGGATAAGGTACAACTGTAATGATTTGGTGCGTCCTTAAATCGCTCTCCTCATAAACATGGACAGTTCAGGCTAAACGTGCAGCGTGACTTGATTTGGGGGCAAAGGGACAGTGGTGCACTCCAGATAAACAGAATCTTTGGAAAAACCACCCACTGACTTATATTTTTGATGTCGTTAAACTGCTGGCACTATAAGGTACGAATAATACGTGACAATTGCAGAGAGAAGAGCTTCCATTTAACAAAGTATAGTAAAATGATGTGCAACATTCAGGAAGGGAAGGCAGCAAATCAGATATACATATTAAGACCAGACGAGCCAAGTAAATATACTATCCCATTGGCATCACAAAGGATGTACCTGCCAATGAAAAGAATGCCAATCTACTGAAAAATGAACAATAAAGTAGCAACAATTTTCTTTGTAAGCATTTGTAATTAGTACCTGCTCTAAATGAAATCTTGAAGATGTTTTGAGTGGTCTGGTAAAAATTACAGCCTAGGAAACCCGATGGCACAGTTCTGCTCTGTCACATGGGGTCACTATGAGTCGGAATCGATTCGACGGCACACAACAACATCCTAATAGGTGTGCTCACCCACAACCCACGTGAACCCCAGGCAGTCCTCCTCCAGACTTGCCAGTCTACCTCCTCCAGCCACAGGGAGGTAAGAAGTCAAGTGCAGTAAATATCAGAAACCACACAACAGTCCAAGGACCCACCCCCTCAGCCAACAGCATGTAACAGACCACATACAGTGTTCAAAAAAAAGAAAATCCCATGGATGGCCAATTCCTTCAGTCTATCTTCTTCACATCCTCTCTGAGGCTGCCACGTATTCCTGTACAAGCTTAAACTAACCCGTCCTTGGTCAGGAGTCCACAGGGCACTGGCTGGCTGGCTAGCAGCTGGGTGAGAATCAGAGAAGACCTGTGTAGCATCTTGGCTGCACCAGCTGTGTGATGCTAGTCACTTACCTCCCTGAGTCTCAGCTTCCTCATCTGCCATCTATCAAAGGAGGACATATTGCATGGGGTTTTCTTTTTTTTGAACACTGTATATGGTCTGTTTCGTGCTATTGACTAAAGGGGTGGGTCCTTGGACTGTTGTGTGGTTTCAGATTTTTTAAAGCTTTAAAAAAAAAAAAACTAAAACTAAACCAAATTAAAACACTGGGAAAATAAACATATGAGTAGCGTGTCCAGAAAGAGATCTAGGATATGTGAGAATCTAGTGTACGATAAAAGTGGAGAACAAATGACTTAATGTAGGAGGCTATCCTCCTGGATGGTGGAGTGAGGAGTGTGGCGGACTTTCTCCTCAACAAACAGCCACTTAACTAGAGCAACTTAGAAAAACGCAATCATTTGAAGTTCCCGGATATTGACCTGAGGGCATACAGCAAATGGAGAAGGATTCATTCAAGAAAATCTAAAGTCTGTGGCATTTGAGCCATGACCTGTTCTCTCCCCTCCCTCAGCTTGTCTCACAGAAAATACTTCAGAGAACTCTACTCCAGGTGGGTGTGGTCAAGAAGTTGAGGGCTCCCTCTCCCCGACCAGTCTAGGGCTACAGCTTCACCCTGGGGAGGGAGACAAGCCACTGCCATCTCTTGTCTCCCCCAGACCCACATCACAGTAGCTCTATTTAGAGCAGGTGCACCCCAGAGGACCAGGCTCCCTTCCTCCATTCAGCCCCACTCATAGAGTGAAGCTCTCAGGCCAAGAATTCAGGGTACTGAATACCCCTACTCCGCTGGCTGGTAGGGCAGAGGTTCCACATGGGGAGGGGGAACCAGCAAAGAAGACTAAGGGCCACCCAACCTCCCTCCAGCGCCTGCTTGAACAGCAGGAGAAATAAGACCACTGTTCCTGTTGTCAATTCTTGGGCAGGTTCTGCCTGGGGAGAGGCAGACAGGAAGGATGAAGAGGTCACAGTGCTGCTGGAGGGGACTGACTTTATTTGTAACACAATCTGGAGAACTCCATGCCTAAGCACATTGTCAAAACAATGGTGACCTTGGTGGAGAGCAATTAAGAGGGCCTTCATAGTTCCATCATGTTGTTGTATGCCGTTGAGTTGATTCCAACTCATAGCAACCCTACGTGACAGAGTAGAACTGCCCCCTAGGGGTTTCTAGGCAGTAATCTTTACGGAAAAAATCCCTGAGTTGCTATGAGTCAAAAACTGACTCAGCGGCACTCAACAACGACAACAACCTTTACAGAAGCAGATTGCCAGGTCTTTCTCCTGTGGAGCCATTGGATGGTTTCCAATCGCCAACCTTTCAGTTAGCAGCCGAGCGCTTAACACTAGAAGCAAAAAGCTAAATGGCGGAGGAGTCAGAAGCTTAACAGAGAACCAGGGAGAGTCGGCCAAGAAGAGTCCTCCTGGGATCAGTCACCCCTGAGGGTCAGGAAGCCTGTGCAGTGGTGGACTGCACCCAATGAGAAGCAGTCAGAGCAGGATGTGGGAAGACTTGAAAACCTCCCCCATGCTACACACAGAGCAATCAACAGAAGGCACAAGCCCCACTGGCACCAGGGTCTTATGCACAACCTCTAACCAAACACTGACTAAACAATAAACTCCTGTGACCTACGAGCAACTCCTAGAAGGCCAGACTTAAAAATAAAATCACACACACCCCTGGAAGTCTGGAAGATTGTGCGCACGTCCAAGGATGCACCAAGGAGTGATCACAGAGGAAAAATCTAAGCTACTAGTCCCTAGCTGAGGAGCCATGGTGGCACAGCAGTTAAGTGCTCGGCTGCTAACCAAAAGGTCAGCAGCTCGAACCCACCAGCCTGCCCTGTGGGAGAAAGATGTGGTAGTATGCTCCTATAAAGATTTATAGCCTTGGAAACACTGTGGGGCAATTCCACACTGTCCTATAGGGTTGCTGTAAGTTGCAATCAACTAGATGGCACTGGGTTTGGTTTTCTGAGTCCCTAGCTAAGGACCCCTGGTGTCACAGTGGTTAAGAGCTCCGCTGCTAACCGAAAGGTTAGCAGTTTGAACCCACCAGCCACTCCACAGGAAAAAATGTGGCAGTCTGCTTCTGTAAAGATTATAGCCTTAGAAACCCTATGGGACAGTTTTACTCTGTCCTATAGGGTCACTGTGAGTCAGAACCAACTTAACAGCAACAGGTTTTGGTTTAGTCCCTAGCTGAATGGTGGGCAAAAACTTAAACTCCACAAACTATAACAGCAGCTTCCAAGCCACACACACATCCGATAGCAAACCACACAAATCCAACTGGCCAAGTGGCTTAAGCGCAACTTTTGACCAATAAGTGGCCTATGCTAACCCAAGGGCAATCCACAGGTAGCCAGGCTAAATGATAAGAACAAGAAAGAAATCTGAGCTGGGAATAACAGGCTGTACAATACAGGGGAAATAGACTTCATGGAGTTAGTTCAGCCAAGTCACTAATCAAATAAACAACCAACCAAGCAAACAAAAACATCATCAACTCCCTGGGGAGGAGGGATCAATATTCAGAGTTGCTATAATATATTATCTAAGCATCTAGTTTTCAACACAAAATTATAAGACATGCAAAGAAAAGGAAAGTGTGACAAATATACAGGAAAAAAGGAGGCAATGGAAAACTGCTTTTGAAGGGGCCAAGATGTTGGACTTAGCAAAGACTTCAAAGCAGCCACTATCACTACGTTCAAAGAACTAAAGGAGACTATGGCTAAAGAACAAAAAACGATGTGGTGACAATGTCTCTTCAAAGAGAGAATATCAACAAAGATAGAAATTACAGCAATCACCAAAAACAACAAAATTCTGCAGTTAAAAAGTACAATAACTGAAATATAAAACTTCACTAGAAGGGCTCAACAGCAGATCTAAGTTGGCAGAAGAAAGAATCTATGAACTTCAAAATAGAGTAATAGAGATTATATGATTTGAAGAATAAAAAGAAAAAACAATGGAGAAAAATAAACAGGGCCTCCCCAAAATGTGGGACACAATTAAGCACACAAACATGCATGTAATGAGAGTACAAGAAGACAATGCAAGAGAAAATGGGGCAGAAAAAAATACTTGAAGAAATAATGACCAGAAACTTGCCAAACTTGATGAAAATTATTAATCTACATATCTAAGAATCTCAATGAACTCCAAGCAGAATAAATGCAAAGTAATCCATACCCAGACACATCAGAGTAAAGATGCTGGAAGTCAGTGATAAATAATCCTAAAGCAGTGCGAGAAAAAACGACTCATCACTTAAAGGGAACCTCAGTAAGATTAACTGCTGCTGACTTCTCATCAGAAACAATGAAGGCCAGAAGTAGGATAACATACTGAAAAGGGCCCCTGGCAGTGTTGATGTGAGATTCCCAAAAATCCAAACCCACTGCCACTGAGTGGATTCCAACTCACAGTGACCCTACAGGACAGAGCAGAACTACTCCATAGGGTTTCCAAGGCTGTAATCTCTACAGAAGCAGACTGCCACATCTTTCTCCCATGGAGCAGCTGATGGGTTTGAACCGCTAACCTTTTGGTTAGCAGCCGAGTGCTTAAACACTGTGCCAGCAGGGCTCCTTGATGTGAGATTAGAAAGAAGATATATGAGGCAGCCTCGCAGTGTTGTTCTGAGACTAGAGAGAGGATATATGAACCCCCCTCAGGCTGCTGTTGTGAGAGAGGATATATGAGGCAGCAGAGTATGGTGGTCAGGAGCACAAGGTCTTGAGTAGGCTGACCTGAGCAGGTAAGCACCTGACACAGAACTCAATACTAAAAGCTCAACAAACGCTATCATTATTATTCTGTTCTAGAAACTGTGAAGCCTTGTACAAATGTTGGCTACTAAGACTACCGGGGATCGAGCCCCCAGTTCCACTTGACGCTTGTCCCTCTTGACCTGCCCTGTGGTCAGTTTGACCTGTTAACAGTCCATGGCACTGCATGCTCTCTGGCACACAGTAGGTGCTCTATAAAGGTTCATGAGTGAACCTAGGGCAGCTCTGCTGCTAGCTGAGTTTGGGAAATGCATGGACTGGACAGAGGCCCTGCCCACAAGAAGTTCGCATCTGGCTGAGGAGAACAGGTCAGGATCAGTAGTAAACCCCAAGAAAGGCAGCCAGGCAGCCTAGGCTGAGGGCCTCCTCAGTGCTGAGTGGGCTTTGCACCAGGCTCCCCAACAAGACTGAATTCCTTGAGATTCAGTCACGAGGCCCTAACCTCCTTTTGTAGCCTCTAAACCTAGCACAGGGCCTGACGTGTATAAAGTACTTAATAAATGTTTATTGAATTACAAAAACATTCATCAACAGTACTGTTTCTAACAGCAAAAGAGTGAACACCAAAGAGTAAAAGCAGATATTTTAGATATTAGATACTTTGGTGCTGTTAAGCACCTAGAGTCAGCCCCGACTCATGGCCACCCAATGCACAACAGAACAAATTGCTGTCCAGTCCTGAGCCATCCCCACAATCAAGACTGGATCAGATTGCTGTGATTCATAGGGATTTCACTGGTTGATTTTCAGAAGTAGAGTGCCAGGCCTTTCTTCCTAATCCTTCTCAGTCTGGCAGCTCCGCTGAAACCTATTCTGCATCCTAGCAAAATACAAGCCTCCACAGACACACGTGTGGTGGCTGCCCATGAGGAGCACTGGCCGGGAACTGAACCACGGGTTAGAGTGTCAAAAATCTTATTCTGGAAAATGTGTGGATAAGGGTAAATGCTAACAACAAATTAAATGACAAAGGTTATCAAACAATGTACACATGATCTCAATTTTTAAAAAATGTATGTGAAAAAGAGATTGGAAGGAAATACACCAAAATGTTAACTGTGGTTTTCTGTGGGTGGTCAGATTATGGGTAATTAGTTTTTCAATTCTTCTATAATGAGCAGGTTATTTTTTAACAAAAAAATAAGTTTTATTTTAAAAGATGAGAAAGCAGTAACTAAGGGCCAGTATGGATAGGCAGGCCTCCCAGATAAGGCAGGACTTGGTTCTCTGAGGGCCAAGTGGGAATGTCAGGGCTCTAAGTTGCCAGCGCATAGAGCCCCTCCGTCGAGCTCTGTACAGCCCTGCCAAGCACTGGGGTCTCAGTGAGAAGAAAGCAAAGCAAGCAAAGTTCCCTCTGTTGGGGGCCTGCCAATGGCTTCCCATTGTAGCCTGAATAAAATCTTTAAACCTTAAACCAAAAACATCCCCTGAAGTCTTCTTTAAACCAAACAATAATTGAGCTTAACTAGTAAAGAATGTCCTCCTTGAGCACTGTGCTCTTTTAAGATCTATATGAGATCAAAGGAGCCCTGGTGACACAGTGGTTAAGCACTCAGCTGCTAACTGAAAGGTCGGCGGTTTGAACCCCCCAGCTGCTCTGGGGGAAGAAGATGTGGCAGTCTGCTTCCATAAAGATTACAGCCTTGGAAACCCTAAGAAGGCAGTTCTACTCTGTCCTACAGGGTCACTATGTGTTGGAATCCACTTGACTACAATGGGTTTATATGGGATCAAACTGAGAGCAACTCAAAAGATAGGAAGTTTAGGCAGCAATGAGTTTATGTTAAAGGAGGAGGAGCAATTCAGAAAAGGAGGGTGAGAATGGTTTCACAACTTGAATGTAATCAATTCACTGCCATGGCCTGCAAGCCTCTCCACCTTCAGCCCATACCCACCTTCCATCCACTCTCCCTGCCCCAACACAACCCACACGGGCTTTCTTTCAGTCCCTGGAACCCACCGCTCATTCCCACCTCAGGACATTTGCACACATTCTTCCCCTCTGCTCCCCGACCTTTACCAGAGTGGTTCCTTCTTGTCATTTAGAACTGGGGCAAGTGTCAGCTCCTCACAGGGGCTGGTCCTGATAGCCAGCTAAAGCAGCCAGTCCCCAACTCCATCCCCACCATATAGGCCTATTTCATTTTCTACACAGCATTTCAACTTTACAAAATTATCTTAGCTGTGTGCTTATCGTTTACTTTGGTCTCCATCCACTGGAACGAGGCTTATATCTGCAGCACCTAGTTGTTGTTGTGCGCCATGGAGTCAATTCCCACTCATAATGACCCCACGTGACAGAGGAGAGCTGCCCCATAGGGTTTTCTAGCCTATAATCTTTACAGGAGCAGATCACCAGGTCTTTCTCTCACACAACCACTGTGAGTTGGAACCACAGACCTTTCTGTTAGCAGCGGAGAGCTTTATCAAGAGCTTTACCCTAATCTTTACGGGAAGGAGCCCTAGTGGCACAATGGTGAAGCACTCGGCTGTTAACCGAAAGGTCTGTGGTTCCAACTCACCAGCCACTTTTTGGGAGAAAGAACTGGCGATCTGCTCCCGTAAAGATTTCAGCCCAGGAAACCCTGTGGGGCAGTTCTACTCTGTCATATAGGATCATTACGAGTGGGGAAGGACTGGACAGCACACAACAATCTTTACTGAAAGCTGATCGCCAGGTCTTTTTCCCGCAGAGCCGCTGGGAGGCGCCAAAAATACTTGATAAAAGAACGAACCAAGTGCGCGTTTACCGGACCCTTGGGACGAAGCTTGGCATCTCTGCCTCCAGGAAGCCGTCTCGGACCCCGAGGCCAGGCAAGGCCCTCCTCTGCGCCCCCAGAACCTGGGGCTTCCTCCCCCCACGCGGATGGCGCAGGGCGGCCCGTCCGCTGCCCCCGGCCGTGGGTTGGGAGTGTCTCTGGAGGAACCGCCGGGGAGGCGAAGGGGTGTGCACGCACTTACACGGGCAGCGACCGCACAGGCCTGGCCTCACGGGCGCCTGGCTGCGAGGGCGCGGCGTCCAGAATGGCTTCCTAGAGGCGGCAGGCTCTGCAGGGCGGGCGGGCGGACTCCAGGGGCGGCTGGAGGCGGGGGCGCGGGGCAGGGGTCCTTTGGCGGGCGCTTATACGGTAACAATGTCAGCTGTCATTTGGGGACGCCGGCGGGCGCCTCCCCGCCAGCCGACCAACCCAGGGCTCCGATGGCGGCGGGCCCGGCCCAGGCCTCGCGGGGCTACGGAACCGGGCCGGGCCCCGGGCCTGGGCGAGTGGGGGCACGAGGGGGAACGGAGAGGCCCGCCGCGCGTCCTTACCGTCTCCGAGGCCGGCTCCCCGGTGCCCAGGGACATGGCGGCGGACCCTCACTGCTGCGGGCGCGGCTCCGCGGGCCGCCCAGGCCGCCTGCAGCCTCCGGGCCTGCCCGCGCGTCGCACCGCCTGCCCGCTGCCATGGCAACCCCGTCGCCGACCCGCGCAGTCCCGGATGTAGCGGCGCCTCGCGTGCCTGGGGCGACCGTGCGCGTGCGCTGGATTTGTGGACGCAAGTAGGTCAACCCGGAACACGCCCGGGGTTGCCTGGGCCTAGAGTAGGGCTTAACCGGAAAATTGGCAAAAACTATCAGTTGGGTGGTGCTTAGCAGTTTACAAAGTGCTTGTACTGCCATTATCTTACACAAACTTCACAAGTGTGTAGTAGGTGCAGTTCATAAAGAATAGGCGAAAGAAACAACCAGAACAGAAATAATGTTCATTCACTGAACAACTTGTGTAGAAATGTGAACCTAAATGGCTGTGAAAACCTTCACCGAAAACACAATGAAAAATAAAAAGCATAGGTAATTAATTGTTGTTGTGTGCCATCAAGTCGATTCCCACTCAGAATGACCCTATGGAACACTAGGGTTTCCTAGGCTGTAATCTTTATTTACCGGAGCAGATCGCCATGTCTTTCTCTGAGTTGCTGTTTGATTTCAAACCGCCAGCCTTTCAGTTAGAAGCCGAACACTTAGCCGTTGTGCCACCAGGCTCCTAGGCAATTAATTAGTAAATATTTATCAAGTTAATGTTGAAAGAAATTTAAGTGGCTGGTCCAACTTCACAGGCTACTATTTCTGAAGGCATGACATTTAGAAAAGCATCTCCGTTAATCTCAAATTTTAGGCTCTAGGTTTTGATAAGAGCCACAAGGCAATAGAAAAAGATTAAGAGTTTGTACTGCATTCAATATGTATTACTAAGATACTTAGGTGCATTGGAGCCAAAGTAAAATAAACATGCGCTTCTGTTCAGTTATTGATGTTAGGTGCTGTGCAGCCGGTTGCAATTCATGACGACCCCATGTACAATAGAAGAAAAAGTTGTTGGGTCCTGCACCATTTCCTGATAGTGCGTCTGAGCCCATTTTTGTGGCTGTTGTGTCAATCTCATGGAGGGTTTCCATCGTTTTGACTGACCCTCTACCAACCATGATGTCCTTTTCTAAGAACTGGTCTCTCCTGATGACATGTCCAAAGTAAGTGAGAAGTTTCGCCACTGTCACTTGCAGGGAGCGTTCTGGTTCTTGAAGTCTGATTCCTATTTTAATATCCATGACACGTCTACTTTATCTTTCATAATATATAATAGTGTCTTCCCCCCAAAACCTTGCTGTAAAGCAGACTTTCTGGAATGATGAGCCTTGTTTATCCACTGGCTTTTAGAAACTCTGGCAACACATCGGAGGGCCCCTGAGAACCCAGTTTTGAGCCCTCAGGCCAAATGACCAGGCACCTCGCGTTGTTCTGCCTCATTCACTCTAAGCCTACTCAGCACGCTTCTTTTTGACACGTGCTCCCCTCCTGACTCGCCCGCGGGGCCCCGCCTTTTACGTCATCGCCCCGCCCGTTCCTCCAACAGCCCCGCCGGATGCTTGGCACGTACCACTGAGCGGCCTGATGGGGGTGATGTGTCGAGGCGACCGGTTTGGCGGCGACCTATCCCCAACCTGTCTCAGCTGAAGCTCGTTCCCCCAAGTCTTTGCCCTCTAGGCTCACAGACTGGCCTCCAGGGGGAGCTGTAGCGGTCCCCACTCTCGCCCGTGCCTTCTCCAGGCCCGGCGGTTTGCGCGGCCCGGGGCCGTGGGCGGGGCGGCAGAGGGGCGGGGCTAGCGGCGCGCTGACGGAAGCGGAGCGGGTGAGGTGCTCGCCCGGGTGGGGGGTCGTAGGTGCGCGTTGGGGGTCGGACCCCAGACACAGGGGGTTGGGAGGGCCGAGAGCAGCCCAGGACAGTCGGGAGCGCGCGGGCCTGGGCTCGCTTGCCGGGCCGCCGCGTCTGGCGCCCTTTCTGGTCCACGCTTGGGGGCCCGAGACTGGGCCGGGACTTGGACCTACCAAGACTGTCCAGCTCCAAATTGCAGGGAAGGCTTATTTCCCAGGGATGTAGCCTCACCCCGGATGGACAGACGGGCTCCCAGCCCAGACAGATCTAAGCCCTGACCCAGAGAGCCACCGACACCCCCTCCTGCGCACGCACCTGGAGGCCACGGGACCGACACACCAGCACAGGCACCTCCAACCTAGTAGACACACTGGTACCCCTTCTCATATCCCAGCCAGAGCCACAGATGCCCACCCTGATCCTGGGAGAGACAGACGCTTTTTAGCCAAGATGGACAGATGCTCTAGACCCTGACCAGACACAGTCCCCTCCACAGCCCCTGCCTACACAGGTTTGTCAAATGCAGACACCACTGGCCCTGGAAGGGACACACAGACACTTTCCAACCTGGCCTGGGACAGATATGTGAATAGATGCACCGTTCTTGCCCCATATCACTAGTCCCAGAACTTAGAGACACCCCTGACCCTGGCCCCCCTGCAGCCCAGTGTGAGCCGCCGACCAAAGTCAAACCACAGGCCCTTGTGATTTAGGCCAGACTTTCCTATCTCCCCAGCCAGGCCATCAGCACTCAGGGCCCTGCTTGCTTTTGACCACCTCATGTTGTAGTTAGGTGCCGTCCAGTCAATTCTGACTCATGGTGATCCCACGTGACGGTAAAACTGCCCCATAGGGTTTCCTAGTGTGAAATGTTTATGGGAGCAGATTGCCAGGTCTTTCTCCCACAGAGTCTCTGGGAGAGTTCAGACCGCCAACCTTTGGGTTAGTTGTTGGGTGCCTTCAGGTTGATTCTGATTCATGGCAACCTTATATGACAGAGTAGAACTGCCCCGTAGGATTTTCTTGGCTATGATCTTTATGGAAGTACATTGATGGGTCTTTTCTCCTGTGGAGCGCTGAGTGGGTTTGAACTGCTAACCTTTTGATTAGCAGCCAAGCAGTTAATTATTGCATTACCAGGTCTCCTTGATCACCTCATACTCAACCCATACTGAGACTTTGTATCCATCCCGCAGCTCAGAGCTTTGTTCTAAGAGTTGTGGTTCTCTAGCTGTCTGTCTGTCTGTGTGGACGTTGCTGGGACCTTGTCCCAGACTTGAGCTGACCTCAGGGCTGCCTGTGACCAGAGTGGATGGGGCCTATCCCTCACAGTTCCTTTGCAGGGACCCTGGCCTCATCATGGACCCAGAATGCTCCCGGCTCCTCCCAGCTCTCTGTGCTGTCCTGGCAGATCCAAGGCAGCTGGTGACAGATGACACTTGTTTAGAGAAACTCCTGGACTGGTTTAAAACAGTAACAGAGGCAGGTAAGGGTAAGGGAGCTGCTGGTTCTGTTTCTCCAAGGGCTTGTGGATATATGGGGGAGAAATGGGACAAGGGACGCAGAGCTCCCCCTCTGACGGTGGAAGGGGACAAACTGTTGTCAGTTGTCTTTCCTTCACTTCATGAAGATTCTGTTTGGGGCAAGTCATCTGAAGCAGGAGTGAATGATTAGAAAAGCTTGAACTTGAAATTTTTCTCTGATTACAGCCATAGTTCAAGCATCCTGCGTTCAGTTTATGCTCCCAGTACCAGTTGCTGTGAAGTCAGCTCTGACTCATGGCAAACCCATGTGTGTCAGCAGAACTATGCTCCATAGGATTTTCAATGGCTGATTTTTTTTTTGCATTTTTTTTTATTGTTGTGCTTTAAATGAAAGTTTACAATTCAAGGTAGTCTCTCATACAAAAATTTATGCATACATTGTCATGTAACCCTAATTGATCTCCCTATACTGTGACAGCACACTCCTCCTTTCCACCCCGGATTTCCCATGTCCATTCAACCAGCTCCTGATCCTCTCTGCCTTCTCATCTTGCCTCTGGACAGGAGCTGCCCATTTCGTCTCATATATCTACTTGAGACTAAATGGGCACACTCCTCATGAGTATCACTTTATGTCCCATGGTCCAGTCTAATCTTTGACTGAAGAGTTGGCCTTGGGAATGGTTTCAGCTCTGGGCCAACAGAGGGTCCAGGGACCATGTCTTCTGGGGTTTTTCCGTTTCAGTCAAACCATTAAGTCTGGTCTTTTTACTAGACTTTGAGTTCTGCACCCCACTTTTCTCCTGCTCTGTCAGGGACTCTCTGTTGTGTTCCCTGTCAGGGCGGTCATTGGTGGTAGCCAGGCACCATCTAGTTCTTCTGATCTCAGGCTGATGAAGTCTCTGGTTTATGTGGCCCTTTCTGTCCCTTGGGCTAATACTTTCCTTGTGACTTTCATGTTATTCATTCTCCTTTGCTCCAGGTAGGTTGGGACCAATTGATGCATCTTAGATGGCTGCTTGCTAGCTTTTAATACCCTAGATGCCACTTGCCAAAGCGGGATGCAGAACACTTTCTTAATAAACTTTGTTATGCCAATTGACGTAGATGTCCCCTGAAACCATGGTCCCCAGACCCCCGCCCCTGCTACTCTGTCCCTCAAAGTGTTTGCTTGTATTCAGGAAACTTCTTAGCTTTGGTTTAGTCTAGTTGTGCTGACTTCCCTTGTATTGTGTGTTGTCCTTCCCTTTGCTTAAGATAACTCTTATCTACTATCTAGCTAGTGAATACCCCTCTCCCTCCCTCCCTATACCCTCGTAACCATCAAAGAATGTTTTCTTCTATGTTTAAACCTTTTCTTGAGTTCTTATGGTAGTGGTCTTATACAATATTTGTCCTTTTGTGGCTGACTAAATTCACTCAGCATAATGCCCTCCAGCTTCCTGTATGTTATAAGATGTTTCATGGGTTCATCGTTGTTCTTTATCATTGTGCAGTATTCCATTGTGTGAATATGCCATAATTTGTTTATCCATTCATCCGCTGATGGGCGCGTAGGTTGTTTCCATCTTTTTGCTGTTGTGAACAGTGCTGCAGTGAACGTGGGTATGCATATATCTATTTGTGTGATGGCTCTTATTTCTCTAGGATATATTCCAAGGAGTGGGATGGCTGGATCGTATGGTACTTCAGTTTCTAGCTTTTAAAGGAAGTGCCAAATCAATTTCCAAAGTGGTTGTACTATTTTACATTCCCCCAACCAGTGTGTAAGTGTTCCAGTCTCTCCACAACCTTTCTAACATTTATTATTTTGTGTTTTTTGGATTAATGCTAACCTTGCTGGGGTGAGATGGTATCTCATTGTAGTTTTGATTTGCATTTCTCTAATGGCTAATGATCGTGAGCATTTCCTCACGTGTCTGTTAGCTGCCTGAATGTCTTCTTTGGAGAAGTGTCAATGGCTCATTTTTTTGGAATTAGATTACCAGGTCTTTCTTCCAAGGCCCCTCTAGGTGGGCTTGAACCTTCAACCTTTTGGTTAGCAGCTGAGTGCTTAACAATTTGTGCCACCCAGGGATATAAGGATCACAGAGCCCAGTACTGCCATCTTCCATATTATTGTTGTCTAGTATTTTAATTCTATCTTGTATTGTAACACCTCAAAAATTACTTATTTTTCATTTTTTAAGTCAGTGCTTTTTTTAGAGTTACCCACATGCTTCTTGGTTTCTTTGCTTCTTGCTCCCCTCTTCTTCACTCTGTTCACTTCTTGCTGAACCACATTCTTTAGTAGTTCTCTCAGCAAAGGTCTCTCAGTGAAAACTCGCATTCTGTGCCTCAGAATGTCTTTTCTCCCCATCAGTACTTTTGAATGATAGTGTAGTTGGGTATAGAAATTTAAGAGGTGGGATCTGGCAAAAAAAAAACAAAAAACAAAAAAAAACCCTATTCTGTTGTACTTTCTTGCATGGCATACTATGAGTTTAAGAAAAATTACCAATTTGATACATAAAAATGATCTTTTGTTTTAATTTGCATTTCTTTTTCATAACCAGTGAGATAGAATATTGTTTAAGGTTTGTTGGCCATTTGTATTTCTTGTCCATGACCTTTACTTGTTTTTGTTGTTAACTGTGGTTGAGTTGTCCCCCAACTACTCATGACAACCTCATGCACAAAGGGATCGTTGTGATCCATAGAGTTTTCACTGGCTCCTTTTCAGAAGTAGGTTACCATACCTTTCTTCCTAATCCGTCTTATTCTGGAAGCTCTGCTGAAACCTTTTCAGCGTCATAGCAACACGCCAAGTCCACTGATGGACAGGTAGTGGCTGTGCATGAGATGCATTGGCTGGGAATTGAACTTGGGTCGCCCACATGAGAGACAAGAATTCTACCACTGAACCACCATTGCTCCCACTTGCTGTTGAGATGTTGCCTCTCCAGCTTTCCTCCCCCTTACTGAATTAAAGTTATGAATCCTTTGCCTGTTGAATTTGTTGCCAATAGTTTCTCCAAGTTGGACGGCTAAAACTAACACCTTGAGAGGAAGGGGTTCTGGGAAGATATGTAGCACCATGTACCTGGTGACTTCTCTCTTCTAGAATCCAGTCTCCTGCTGTTAGAAGAGAATCCCTGCCTAGTTGACCTGCTGTCCCATGCCCTGAAATTCCAGGATGTGAGTTCCAGAATCCTCTCCTTTTCACTTCGCCTTGCAGGGATATTTGCAGCCCAGGAAAACTGCTTCCAGTATCTTCAGGTGAGCCGGGATCCTCCCAATTGGGCATCTCACTGAGAGGTGGGCACCTTCCACTTCTGCAGATGTGTCAGGCATCTGTAGATATTACAGTCCCTAAGTCTCAGAAACTTGACTTGCTCCAGTGTCTGGACAGTTCTGCCAAGTGGGGAAGTCAGCCCCATGGAGGAATTAGAATAGGAGCTGAGTTGTAAAGGGTTTGAACAGGGGAGGGAGGCAGGTAAGAATGCCAGGTGAAGGGTGTGGCTGACTATCTTGGGAGTGGGAGCTGCAGGATCTGGTAGGTGAATAGCAATATGCTGTTGTTGTTAGGTGCTGCTGAGTCGGTTCTGACTCATAGCAACCCTGTGTGACTGAGGAGAACTGCCCCGTAGGGTTTTCTAGGCTGTAATATTTATGGGAGCAGATTGCCCGGTCTTCTCCCATGGAGCCACTGGGTGGGTTTGAACCACCAACCTTCTGGTTAGCAGCTGAGCTCTTAACCATTGTGCCACCAGTGCTCCTTAGCAAGACACTAGGTGTATTAAAAAAAAAAAGTAGAAGTGGGGAACACCTGGAAAAGGAGGCTGGGAGGCCCCTGGCACACCTGGAATGCCAAGCTCAGGCGTTCAGACTCTTCAATAGGCTACAGAGAACTATTGGGGGTTTTGAGCAAAGAATATTATGGTCAAAGGTATACCTTTGAAGGTGAAGCTGGTGGTAGTAGTTCTGGGGAGAGAATTTCTAAAGTGAGCTATAACAAGATTAATTTAGAATCCAGTTTTTTTCTCCTGAAGTTCTGTCCTGTAGAAGGCAGAGTTAGCAGTGCTGTGGCTCTCATTTGCTAGCCCTTGGGGAAGCATCTGCCACCTCACAGAAAGACAGGTACCCAGGGGCCCTTTTGTTTCTGATCGGTAGCTTATATGAAAGTGCCCCAAAAAGTGCAGCCCTGAAAAAATAACGTCTGTACTGTGAACAGCTGTATGCCAACAAACTAGATAACTTAGATGAAGTGGACACATTGCTAGAAACACACAAACCACCTAAACTGACTCAAGAAGAAATAGAAACTCTCAGCAGGCCTGTAACAAGTGAGGAGGTTGAATCAGTAATCAAAAGCCTCCCAGCAAAGTAAAGTCCAGGACTGGACTGGTGAATTTTTCCAAACATTTAGAGAATTAACACCAACACTTCTCAAGCTCTTCCAAAAAATAGAAGAGGTGGGCTCACTTCCTAACTCATTCTATGAGACCGGCATTATCTTGATTCCAAAGTCAGATAAAGATACCCCAAGACAAGAAAACTACAGACCAATATCCCTTATGGATATTGATGCAGGTATCCTTAACAAAATACTAGCAAACTGAATCCAACGACATATAAAAAGAATTATATAAAATAAGTAATAAATAATAATCAGTGATCGGTCCTGTATCCCTGGGAAAATACCCATGTTGCCTCATCTTTCTTTGCCTTCAGCAGGGGGAATTACTGCTCGGGCTCTTTGGGGAGGCGGGCCCCCTTGGCTTCCCGGCCTGGAATGTCCCCTCAGTGCGCAGTGGCTGGATCCAAGGCTTGTGCTCCCTGGCGCAGCACCCCAGTGCTGAGCAGTTCCTGATTGAATGTGGTGAGTGAGGCTGTATGCCCCCCTGCCCCCCAAATTCCACCTTTAGTCCCGTTTCCAGCCTGTGGTGCATTGGGCCTCCTGCTGGCTGTAGGACCCCAGGGTAGTCACTTCACCTTACTGGCCCTCAGTTTCCTCATCTGCAAAACGTGGCTGTGCTTTGTGATCTTGGACAAGTTACTTAACCTCTTTGAGTCTATTCGCCAGTAAAATCTGGGTATTAGTACCTCTCTCACCAGGGGAGTTGCAAAGATTAGATGATAGAACATATGTAAGGTTCCTACTATAGTGTTTAAGACTGACAGTGGTTCATCTTAGTGACCTGTTTATTTATTCCATATGGAGCCATATATATGGAGCCCTGGTAGTGCGTAGTTAAGTGCTCAGCTGCTAGTCGAAAGGCCAGCTGTTCCATTGGAGAAAAGACCTGGCAATCTGCTTCCATAAAGATTACAGCCTTGGAAACCCTATGGGGCAGTTCTACTCTGCCACATAGGGTTGCTATAAGTCAGAATCAACTCGATGGCACTGGAATTTTTGTGAGTATGTAGATACACATATATACACATCTAGTAACCAGTTGCTGTCAAGTTGACCCTGACTCATGTTGACCCCACGTGCTTCAGAATAGAACTGTGCTCCATAATGTTTTCAATGACTGATTTTTTGGATGTAGATCGCCAGGCCTTTCTTCTGAGGCACCTTCCAACCTTTCTGTTAGCAGCCAAGTACGTTAAGCATTTGCACCACCTGGGGACTCTCTTTCCTTCTCTCTCTATGTATGTATACATGTACGTGTGGCAGTCTGCCTCTGTAAAGGTTACAGCCTTGGAAACCCTATGGGGCAGTTCTACTCTGTTCTATAGGGTTGCTATGAGTAGAATCGATGGCAGTGGAATATATATATGTGTGTCTGTGTATATATATGTATGCACATATACACATATGTACACAGACGTGTGTGCGTATGTATGCACACTTTGATAAACAGTATGATGCTAAATATATTACTATTTCCCTTTTTTTATGCGAAAAAGCGCTATTCAATTAACGAAATTTCTCTTAGCTTTGTTTTCCTTGTCTGTAAAACGGGGCTTCTGAGATAACGACGTATGTAATTTAAAAGTTGTCAGCAATAAAATGTAGATATCTTTGAAAAAAGTGGCTGTGGACTGATGTCACAGGGTTGTATGATGAACACCCGAGGAAATGTGGCCCCTGTAGGGATGTGAAAATGTCCTGTGGTTCATAGGTCAGACCTCCCCGAGCTGGGTTGCTTCATGAGTCATTTACAGATCAGCTGTCAGGAGTCAGGTGCTGAAACGCATTGGGAAGAGTCAGCAGCTTCCGAGGGTTTCAAGTCCACGGAGGAGATGGTGCTGACCGCCCCTGAACTGCTTCTTGTGTTTTGCTTTTGAGCAAAGGGGAGGTGTTGCATTACCTGGGTCTGGGGCCTCTGAGGATGACATCTGTCTGCATCATTCAGGCCCTTTCTCTGGAGCCTGAGATCTAGTAAAAATCAAGTGACCCAGCAGTAGTGGCTCAGGGTTAGAGTTCTCGCCTTCCGTGTAGGAGACCCAGGTTCTATTCCCAGCCATTGCACTTCATGTGCAGCCACTACTTGTCTGTCAGTGGGGGCTTCTGTGTTGCTAGGATGCTGAACAGGTTTCAGCAGAGCTTCCAGACTAAGATTGACTCAGAAGAAAGGCCTGGCAATCTACTTCTAAGAATTAGCCAATGAAAACCATATGGATCGACCCAGGAAATCAGAGGTGGAAAGGAGGAGTGTCCTGTCACAGTATAGGGAGAGCAATTAGGGTCACATAACAATGTATGTATAAATTTTTGTATGAGAGACTAACTTGATTGTAAACTTTCACTTAAAGTACAATTAAAAAAAAAAAAGTATGGATCACAACGGTCTGATCCGAAATTGATCATGGGGATGGTGCAGGACCAGGTAGCGTTTCGTTCCGTTGTGCATGGGGCTGCCATGAGTTGGGTCCAACTCGATGGCCGCTAACAATAAGAAGCCTTCCTCGAGGCTCTGGTGGCAGGTGTGGCCTCAACTCCAGCTAAACCTTTTCTTCTCTCCTACCTGCTGTCCCCTCCCCTAGGTGCCATGGACACCATCTTCTCCCTGCAGGGGGATTCCAGCCTTTTTGTGGCCTCTGCCGCCAGCCAACTCCTGGTCCAAGTCCTGGGTTTGTCCTTACAAGGCAGAGCTACCCTACAGCTCGGCTTACCAGATGGTGACTGGCCCTCGTGTGCCCAGAGCATCGTGGGCTACCTCGAGGAGTCCCTGCGCTCTGAAGCCACACCACAAGTCACGCAGGCTCTGAAGGTCCTGACCACCATGTTTGGGCGTTGCCACCAGCCTTGGACAGAAGCCCTTTGGATGCGGCTGAGTCCCCTAGTGGTTTGTCTCCTGGAGAAGGACCCTGTCCCCACGGCCCACTCACTTGTCGACCTCTTCCTCAGCATGGCGCGGTCAGCCCCTGGGACACAGTGGTGGGAGCGGGCCCAGGAGCGGGGGTCTCTGGAGTAGGGGGATTGCTTTCCTTAGGAAGGCTTAGAGCAGAATTTAAACCTGGGGCTACATGTCACTGGAAGCCAAGACTTGGGAGGTCACCCACCCCCCGCCAAGAGTACTGCTTTCCGTAGAAGGAGTACCCAGGGTCACCTCTGAAAGTCCTTCTGCCCTTGACTGGGGGCCACCAGGGCTCTGGGGAGAAGTACAAACAGTGAACATACTCAGCTGCTAACTAAAAGGTTAGTGATTCGAGTCCACCCAGAGGCATGTTTGAAGAAAGACCTAGTAATCTACTTCTAAAAACCATCCATTGAAAGCCCTATGGAGCACAGTTCTACTCTGACACACATGGAGTCGCCAGGAGTTAGGTTTGACTCATTGGCAACTGGTTTGGTTTGATTTTTTATTTCTCCCTTGCAGTTCCTGGGTGATGCTCACAGTTAGCGTTCTCAGCTGCTAATTGAAAGGTTGGAGGTTTGAGTCTACCCAGAGGCACCTCAGAAGAAAGGCCTGGTGATCTACTTCTGAAAGATCACAGCCATCAAAAACCCTATGGAGCACAGTTCTACTCTGACACGTACAGAGTTGCCATGAGTCAAGAGTCAACTTGACGGCAACTGGTTTTATTTTCCTGGGGAGGAGATGGAGAGGTCATTGCGTCTTTTGGGGTTTTTCTCTGCAGGTCTCCTGTGTTTGGTTCTTCTGACTGTGACCTGTGGGTGACGTTGGCCCAGACTCTGAGCCGTCTGAGCCCCATGCAGGCAGGGCCCCTGGCTCTGGGGATCCTGAAACTCCATGTCTGGTAAGGACTTGGACGTGTTGTTCGGTGTTTCCTCCAGTCACTGCTGGGGTCGGGCCCCAGAGGTGGGGTAGGCTGAGGGTCATGGGGGGTCCTGTCTATCAGGGAAGCCCCCTGAAGGCTCCTGAGATGAGGGGGCAGTCCAAGGCACTGACGAGGCCATGCACACTCCACCACAGGGGTTGCCATAGATGGGTGGTATCTAACCCGTTTTTCTGTTGTTTTGTGCCGTTGAGTCAATTCCGACTCATGGCCACCCTATGTGTTACAGAGTAGAACTGCCCCATAGGGTTTCCTAGGCTGTAATCTTTACAGGAGCAGATCACCAGGTCTTTCTCCTGCAGAGATGCTGGGTGGGTTTGAATCAAGCTTTCGGTTAGCAGCCAAGCACTTAACCATTGCACCACCGGGGATCCTTAAACGTTCTTTAGCTGTGGAATAATTTTTCAAAGCAGAGCCATAAGGATGCGTCAGACAGAAAGCAGATGAGCAGAGCTGCTCAGCTGAGTGGGGATGAAGACGGGGCAAGGCCCAACTCACTCAGCCACCCTCTGACTGCTCCCAGGCCCCAAGCTTCAGAGCCCCTAGGACTGGTGGTTTGCAAATAGGGTGGATGCAGGGACGAGGAAGCCAGGAGGGGAAGAGACCACAGTTGGTAGGGGGGTGCGGTTAGGATGGCACTTGAAGCGCGTAAGATAGGGTCAGAGGAATGGGAAGGATGAGGGAGCACACGTGTGGGCCCAGATCCAGGGTGGACATGGCCTCAGGGCCTGATCCCCAAAGGACCCGGCTTTGAGGGTCTCCCGAGAGGCCCTCAGAGGTCACTTTGGCCCTAGCAGAGCCCCGTCCCACCCATGTCCAGCAAAGGGGAAGACCACTTTATAGAACCTAAAAGAGCCCCTCTCGCCTAGACGGGAGGTAAGATGCCCTGGGAAAGGGTTCCCAGAGGCCTCCCCATCACAGTGGAGCAGATGCTGCCACCTTGGTGACCTTGAGGCCCCCCAGTGACAGCTTCCGAGAATGCCAGCATCACACTGGGCCCAGCTTGCTCGGGCCTGTCCTCCATACTGTGGCCACTGTGCCTGCAGGACAGCTGTCTCCCCAGGGGTGTCCACACCCCAGCCCCGCTGGTTCCCCCAGGCTTGCTGGGGACATGAGGTACAGTCAGTCTGCCCGGCGTTGGGCAGATGGGGGCAGGCTGGGGGACAGGAGTTCATTGTGTACCCTTTGTCCCTAGTCCCCAGGCTCTGAGAACCCAGGCTTTTGATGTCCTCCTTCTGCCGCTGGCCTGCGTCCTGGAAGCTGCTGCCCAGCCCCCTGGGTCTTCAGGTGAGCTGCTTGGAGCAGGCAGGCAGGGCCGCGGGGCGATGGAAGCTGGGTGCCGCAGCGTACACCACCTTGGGGGGTGGAAGACAGAAAGAATGATGGCGGCCACGTGCCCCGCCTGAGATTTCTGCTTTGGTTCTGCCCAGGCCTCTGACGGATGGTGAAGACAGCAGGGGTATCCCAGGGGCCACCCCACGGGTCATGTCTTCCTGTCCCCCTTGAGGGTCAGTGGGGCAGCAGCATCCCCATGGGGATCACGGTGGCGACTGGGAGAGCTGTCGTTGTGTCCAATCCCAGGTCTTGGCAGAGGTGGTCCCAGGAGCCTGGGGCTGAGTTGGGGGTCCCAGGCTCAAAAGCACACAGGGCCTGGCTCTCTCCTTCTGACATCCACCCTGGCTCCTGGGACATGAAAATTGGTCTCTGTTGGTGACTGGTCTTGCTTCAGTAACCTTGTGGGTTCTCGGTTTCTTGTCATTGGGTGCTGTCGAGTTAATTCTGCCTCATAGTGACCCAGTATGACAGAGTAAAACTGTCCCATGTGGTTTCCCAGGCTGTAATCTTTATGGGCTTAGATTGCCAGGACTTTCTTCCACGGAGCTGCTGAGTGGGTTCAAACTGCAGACCTTGTGGTTAGCAGCTGAGCACTTAATTGTTGTGCCACCAGGGCTCTTTATCCACAAGTATGTTGTTGGGGGCTGTCGGGTTGCTTCCAACTTACAGTGACCCCATGTGACAGAGTAGAACTGCCCCATGGGTTTTCTAGGCTGTAATCTTTATGGGAGCGTTTTGCCAGGTCTTTCTCCCTCAGTCCACAGGTATAGGGATCAGGATTTACAACATATGTTTTTGGGGGATATATTTTAATCCATAACACTTGGATTCTTATTTGTCACTGAGGACTTAAGGAAGAGGGATCAGGTTTGCCTAGAAGTTGAAGCATCATATTGGACATGTGAAGGTGCTTCTTGACCATGCAGGGGCAGGCTGCCTGGGAGACTGTGGACCTGCTGCTCCTAGAAGCCTCTGGAACATGTGGATTGCTTTCCAGTGCAGTGGGGCTGTGAATGGGGCCCCTTCTCTCTCCCAAGGCCCTGGACATGAGTTTCTACCCAGCATGGGCTCCACTCACTGTTCTGCCCTGGGCCAACCCCTTTGGACCTCTGTCTGGTCTGCAGGACAGGGCCGCAGGGGTAGGGTCATCGGGCAGGACGATAGCTTCTCAAGGTGGACACATGGGAGCTGCTATTAAAGCTTCCGGTCCTGTGTCTATCCTCCAGGCTTGCTGGATGGGACTGGGAGCAGCCTTGCGATGGCCGATGCCCTCCTGGCCTCCACATCGTCCTGCGCCGGCCTCTTGTGCCAGAGCCTGGCCCACCTTGGGGAGCTGCAGCCACTGGTGTGTATGGCCTGGCCTGGTGGGGGCGGTGTCATCCCTGCAGCCCTGTGAGCCCTCTGCTGAGCCTTCTCCCTCCCCAGCCCCACGGTCCCCGGCTGTGGCCACAGGCGCCCCTGCTCAAGGCCACCGTGACGACACTGTGCTTCTGTAGCGGCTCCGCAGTGCCCGTCTCCAGCGTGGGGGGGCGCCTCTGCAGGATCCTGGCTGGCTGCGTCCGCGTCCAGCGTGCGGCCCTCGACTTCCTGGGGACGCTGTCTCAGGGGACAGGTGTGTGTGAGGTTTCTTCTTCCGTGATGAGCCATACGCCTCACCCCTCGAGTGGCCTGGAGCCATGTTCCTCCACATGTCCTCTCGGGGTGGGACTCCGCTGACCCGTGGGTGCCTTGCTTTCCTGAGGTTTGCACTTGCACCTTCCCTGCTGGGACCTAGAGGTTCTTGGGGTTGGGGGCTAGAGTGTTTTCATCCACTTGCATCTGTCCCAGGCCCCCAAGAGTCAGTGATGCAGGTGTTTGCCATCCTCTTGGAGTACCTGAGGAGCCCCGAATCCAGCCCTACGGTAAAAGGGTGGAGGTGGGAGCGGGGTGGGTGGGGGCAGAGGCTGCAGTTGCCCTTCTTAAAGTGAGGTCGAGGATGGGGGGCTGCACCCGGGTAAGGCCTGGTTGAGTTCAGTGGAGGTATTGGGCTGTGGTCAGCAGGAGAAAGTGTAAGCTTCATGTTATTACCATGTCAACACTACCCAAAGCTATCTACAGATTCAGTACGATCCCATTAAAATCCTAACAGCCTTCTTTGTGGAAATGGAATAGCCAACCCTTAAATTCATATAGAATCGCAAAACCAGTTGTCTTCAAGTCAGCTGCAGCTCATGGTGTCCCCATATGTGTCAGAGTATAACTGCTCCGTCTGGCTTTCAATGGCTGTGACCTTTCAGAAGTAGATCGCCAGGCCTTTCTTCTGAGGCATCTCTGGATGGACTCAAACTTCCAACCTTTCACTTAGCAGCCAAGTGTGTTAATCATTTGTACCACCCAGGGTCTGGGGCCCCCAATAGCTAAAGCAGTCTTGAAGAATAAAGTAGGAGGTCTCACTCTTCCTGATTTCAAAACATACTATATATAAAGCTACAATAATCAAAACAGTCTGGTACTAATATCAGGGTAGACATATGTAACACTGGAATAGAATTGAAAGTCCAAAAATAAATCCATACATCTATAGCCAATTGATTTCCAGCAAGGGGCCCCAGTCTACTCAACAGGCAAAGAGTCTCAGGCTTCTTACAGGGAATTCTTGACAAGGGAAATGAGCAGAGCCAGTATGGCCCCAGGCTTGGAGTCCAGGTTATAAGTGCTTCTTGTAAACATTCCCGTTCTCACAAACCCCACAGCTGCTTCTGGGCTCTAGGTGTGTTCAGACTTAATGCCACAAGCCAGACAGTGGAGGAACTTGGACAAAAGACTGGAGGATTCTTTGGGTTTTAAGAAAGGGGAGGCTTAAGTAAATTCTGACGTCTTGGTGCAGAAATCCTGTTACCCCCACGGTACTTGGACATGACAAGGGCTGCCTCTTCCTTTCTCTGCCATGGTCTGGGATGCTAGTTTTTCTAGAATCTTCCATCTTGTGAGAATGAAGTCTAGTATTCACTTCTCCCTACGCCCCCTCCCCCATCTTACACCCCGAGGGCAGAGCAGGGACCGGGTGAAGGCAGACTAGGGGGCAGTCAGGGTGGGTCTCCTGGGTCCCTACAGCCCCCTCCACCCACTCCAGGTTCTGAAGAAGGCCTTCCAGGCCACTCTCCGGTGGCTCCTGAGCACCTCCAAAGTCTGTGGCTCCAATGACCCTGGCTGCCACACCCAGCCATTCCTCAGAGGTACCCCACCTCCCCCGGGGGTGGAGCCAGTAGGGGTGGGCTGGCAGGCAGAGTCCTGACCACTCCTGGGACAGCGGGTTGGGGGAGGCCATTCTGACCGCCCTTGGGCCTGGGGTGTATCTGCAGAGCTATTCCCCGTGATGCAGAAACGTCTGTGCAACCCCTGCTGGGAGGTGAGGGACTCGGCCCTTGAGTTCCTGACCCACCTGACTGCACACTGGGAAGGTGAGTCCTCTGCCTGGGGAGAGGGGACCCAGGACGCCACGGGGGAGGCCGGCGGTGGGGCGCATCCTCTTCCTGAGGGTCTCAACTGTCCTGTGGCTGCTCCCACCACAGGGCAGCCTGGCTTTCGACAAGCCCTCCTGGCCTCCGACATGCCCGAGCTTGCCCAGCAGCTTCTCCAGGACCCCGAGGCCTATGTCCGCGCAAGCGCAGTAGCCGCCATGGGACAGCTGGCCAGCCAGGGACTGCATGCCACCCCCACCGGCCCCGAGCACCCAGGAGCCCAGCAGGTAGGGGCTGAGGGTCCTGGCATCCGGCCTACCCTAGGCAGGGATGTCGTTGGTTACCATGCAGGCTGATGTGCTGAATGCAGCCTGTTGCCTTTGGTGGCACCCACAGGCCTGACCATTTAGTGAGCCAGTCAGTGTCTTTGAGCGCTGCTATAACACAAATACTACAAGTGGGTGGTTTTAAAAAACAGAAATTTATCTTCTTACAGTTCAGGAGGCTGGAAGTTCAGATTCAGGGCACTGGCTCTAGGGGAAGGCTCTCTGTCTGCACTGGGGGAAAATCTTTGTGTCTTTCAGCTTCTCGTTCCTTAGACATCTCCACATGGCATCAGTCTTTCCCCTATTTATGCTTGCTTCTGTGCCTGATCTTCCTTTATGTCTCGAAAGTGATTGGCTTTAGACATACCCTACGCTGCTATGATCTTATTGACATAACAAAGAAAACCGTACTCCCAAATGGAATTATATCCACAAGTATAGGGGTGTGAATTTACCACATGAATTTCGGGGAACACAATTCAATCCATAACAGGTGGCACTCTGTGTGCATTCTCTGGCTTAGTCTCCTAGCCCCCCTGCAAGTTCTGTGTCATTATACCCATTTGACGGTGACAGATGAGCAGGTGGAGGCTCAAAGAGCAGCTTGCTCAAGGGCACACAGTGTGGCGGGGCCAGCATCAGTATTTAGCCTCAGACCTGAGCAACTGGGCTGCTGCTTCCCGCCAGGTCTCATGTTGGGTCAAGCCCTCTGACTGCCCTCGCACCCTCTCTGTTTTCTAGAAGAGTCTGCTCCAGGAGCTCCTGCATATCCTCTCCACGGACTCTGAAGGCTTCCCTCGCAGGGCGGTGATGCAGGTCTTCACGCGGTGGCTGCAGGATGGCCACACCGCGATGGCCGAGGACTTGGAGCAGTTCATGGCCAGGGTGTTCCAGGTGGTGAGCCGGGACCTGGACTGGGAGGTGCGCGTCCAGGGCCTCGAGCTGGCCCGGGTGTTCCTAGCCCAGACACTGGGACCACCTGACTGCCCCTATGCAGTGGCTCTGCCTGCAGCTGCCCCGCCCATCCCACCTATTGAGGTGCTGCGGACGCTGGGTCGGGTGCAGCTCCTTGAGTTTGCCTTCCGTGCCTTGTTTGACTGTGACCGGCCTGTGGCCCAGAAGTCCTGCGACCTCCTGCTCCTGCTGAGGGCCAGGACTGCCCCCGACAGCGGGCTGCAGGGGGCCGGAGGCGGCCCAGACACTGCTACCGTGGAGGCTGCCCTGCGGGCGTGGCAGGCGGGTGAACAGGGCCAGCCGCTGGGTGAGCTGGTGCCCGAGGTCGTGGTGGCTGTCCTGCGGGCCCTGGACCTGGAGGGGCTGCAGGCCACGCTGGCCCAGAGCAGCGACCACGTGGAGCAGAGCCCGCGGTCCCTCTTGCAGGACATGCTGGCCACAGTGGGCGCCCTGGGGGGGCACGAAGCTGACTGCTACTGAGGCTGCAGGCCCCGCTCTCGCCATGCGGCCGAGGGCCACGCCAGCCCCAGAGAACTGGAGCCTGGCCTTCAGCCTGGCCCGGCTACACAAGGGAAGCCGGGAGTGGCGGAGCAGCAAGAAGAAATGGCTTGTTTTCTACTGAAATGAATGGCATTTGGCAGCACTTTGTCCTAAGATGGGTGGGACTTGGGCAGGCCCCTGGCCCCAGGGAGGCTTCCCTGGAGCCTCCCTGTGACACTGCTGGTTTGGAGACACGTCTGGGGAGGGATCTCACTGTGACATTCAGGGAGCCTGTAGTGATGCCTCCATGTGGACCCCCAGGTCCCCCGGCCCATCCTCTCCATATCCCGGAGCAGGGACCCTCTGGGCAGCACAAGCTGGAGAGCCTCTGAACTCAGACCTGTGGCCCCTCCCAGCAATAAGCGCCCCCGTTTCAGCCCCAGCCAAAGTCCAGATCCTCAGTCTATACATTTCACAGTATCGTCCATAACTTGTAGTGAGGCAGTGGTGGCTCAGTGGTAGAATTCCTGCCTTCCACACAGGAGAGTCGGGTTTGATTCTGGCCGGTGCACCTCGTGCGCAGCCACCACCTGTCACTGCAGGGTTGTGTTGCTATGATGCTGAACAGCTTTCAGTAGAGCTTCCAGACTAAAACAGACTAGGAAGAAAAGCCTGGCAATCTATTTCCAAAAATCAGCCCACGAAAACCCTGTGGATCACTACAGTCTGATCCACCACTGATCATGGGATGACTCAGGACCAGGCAGCGTTCGTTTTGTTGTGGGGTCACCATGAGTCACAGGCTGACTCGACAGCAGCTAACAACCACAACACCCATAACTTGTCACCTGAGCAGGAGTAGGAGCTGCACGGTAGGAGTTCAGATGTAGGAGCTGCACGGGTTAGGAGGTCAGGCAGCCCCACAGTGGAGCAAACGGGCACAACAAGCCCAGCTGGAGCGTTGTCTGGCTGTGTGACTGCTTCCTTCTCTGTAAAATGGGCATCACACTATCTGCCTTCCGGGAGGAAACGCCCAGGTGTCCTAAAGCTCCCGGCACGGGGCCTGGCTGTGTCATTTCCTGCCTCTCTGTTCTCGAGAGGAGTTGAGTTCACTCCTGTCTTATAGGCTCCAATCATGCTGTTGATGAAGGGAAAGAGTGAAATACTGTGCAAGCGCCTTGTCATCCTGAATCAAGGCGGGCAGCCTCACCTGAACTTCAGCGAGAGCTTTGTCAGATGGAGGTCCTGCCCTGGCCCCTGGCCCTGCAGTCCCCGTACCCGTGGGCCGGCTGCCCCATGGCAGCAGAGTGCGGGCAGGTTCATGTGTGAGGTGTGGCGGGACTCAGTGGCTGCCCTGGTCCGCACCCTCCCGGAATTGGGGCCTGATCTGCCTTTGGAGGTGCTGTCACGTGACCTGTATGCAGACCTGGCCTGCCGCAGGAGCCACCCTGGGTCCTCCAGAAAGACGAGGTGCCCGTGGACAGGTGTACCTGGGGCGGAGAGCTGAAGGGAGGAGCCCCCACAGGAGAGAGGGGCCTGGGGCAGGCTTGGCTTTGTATGGAGCGGGAGCTGCCCCTGGTGGGGCTGCTGAGTGCAGACAGCTCCCCTGCCTTAGGTAACTAAGACCCCCACCAATTTACCTAGTTCAGTCCTTCAGTCACTCGACAGACGTTGCTTGAGAGGCCTGTCTTAGTGTCCCAGGCTGCTATAACAAAAGACCACAATGGGAGTGGCCTATAAGAACAGAAATTCATTCTCTCCCAGTTCTGGAGGCTGGGAGTCTGAATTCAGGGGCTTGGCCGGGTCAATTGCTTCTGGGGGCTTTGAACATAACTTCGTCTTGCTTACTTCGGACACATCATCAGGAAAGACTAATCCCGCGAAAAAGATACTATGTTTGGTCACGTAGAGGGTCAACAAAAACGAGGGAAACCCACCATGAAATGAATTGACACAAAAGCCGTAACGTGGACTCAAACGTACCAACGTCCATGAAGATGGCTCAGGACCAGGCATGTTTCATCCTCCTGTACATAAGGTTGCCATGAGTTGGAGCCAATTCGACAACAACAACACAACTTGCAAACCAGAAGAGAAAAAAAACTGAATGATTAAAAAAATCCTTAATCAAAAAAAACTACAAAGGAGAAATAAACATCGTATTAAAAAAAACCAAAGCCGTTGCCATCGAGTCAATTCTGACTCATAGTGACCCGGTAGGACAGCTTAGAACTGCCCCATAGGGTTTCCAAGGCTGTAATCTTTACAGAAGCAGATCTCCAGGTCTTTTTCCCACGGATCCCCCTGGGTGGGTTCAAACTGCTGACCATTCAGTTAGCAGTCACCTAACCACTGTGCCGCCAGGGCCCTTTGAAACATCGTACATCGTATACGTTGGATCAAAAAAAAAAAAAAAAAATACCACGCACACAAAATATGACAGATTTGAACTCAGTACTTGCATAATTGCTTTGCAAATGGTTTATACTTGACTACTCACCTAAAAGTCGTTGGTTTGAACCCACCTAGTGGCACCATGAAAGAGACCTGGTGATCTGCTTCCGTAAAGATTACAGTAAAAAAAAACCCTGTGGGGAAGTTCTACTCTGTGACACATGGGGTTGCAATGAATCAGAATCAACTCGATGGCAGTGGGTTTGATTTTTGTTGTTTTGTCACGGCCTTTGACGGGAAGCCGCTCCCACAAGCTCTGCTTCCAGCCCCCTCAGTCTGGGCCATGGGTCTGGCAGCCAGCAGAACCCAAACAAGCCTTAGCCCTCACTCTGGCCTGGTCTCAGAAGCCTGGGGGGCTTTGGGAACCTTCAGCATGTGCTGACTGCATGAGCCAGGGCCCTGGAAAGAGAGTATATCAGTTAGCTATTGCTGCATAAGAAGTGACACCAAAACAGTGACTTAGGATGACAACAGTTTATTATTTGTAAAGGGTCTTTGGTTAGCTGGGCAGTCCTGGACTAGTCTCAGCAGCTCACTTGTGCACCTGTGGTCAGCTGGTGGACTGGCAAGTCTGGATGGCCTCAGCTGGGATGATACAGGCTCCGTGTGTCTTTCCTTTCCTGCCCAGGCCTGTGCTTATGGTTCTAGCTGGAGGACAAGAGAGGAGGCAGAAGCACACACATCCCTTGAGGCCTAAGTTCAGAACTGGTACAGTTGTCACTTCTGTCACTTTTACTGGCCAGGGCCAGTCATGACACCACCTCTGATTCAAGTTTGGGGAAATAGATGTCACCTCTTGATTGTTGTGTTGTTAATTGCCATTGAGTCAATACCAACTCATGGTGACCCCATGTGTGCAGAGTAGAACTGCTCCATAGGGTTTTCAAGGCTGTGACCTTTTAAAAGCAGATCACCAGGCCTGTCTTTTGAGGTGCCTTTGAGTGGACTTGAACTGCCACCTTTCGGCTAGTGTTGTTTGCCGTCAAGTTGATTCTGACTCATAGCAATCCTATATGACAGAGTAGAATTTCCCCATAGGATTTCCTAGAGAATAATCTTTACTGGAGCAGATCACCAGGTATTTTCTCCACGGAGCCGCTGATGGGTTCAAACCACCAACCTTTCCACTAGTAGTCGAGTGCTTAACCACTGTGCCACCAGGGGCTCCTCACCTCTCATTAAATATTTTTTTTGTGTGTGTTTTCAGTGAAAGTTTACACAGTAGTTATGTTCCCATTCAACAGTTTCTACACAAATTGTTCAGTAACATTAACATTCTGGTTGTTCCGTTTCCAGTGCTCTAGTTTCCCTGCCCCCTTATCTTCTCATCTTTGCTTTAGAATAATTGTTGACCTTCTGCTCTCATATAGATGGTTTTTTACTGGAGCACCGTACTCATGGGTAATATTCTTTATTTTGTGTGCCACTCGGTTATTTCACTAAAATGTGACCCTGGGATAGTTTTGGTTCAAGGTTTAGTTTAAATAGTATCTCAGGGCGTTAGTGGGACTCCTCCCCTCTTCTTCTAAGTTGCAAAGTCACGAGCCAGAGGGTGTGGATGACACAGGGATGAGGAGAAAGCTGGAGTCACTTTGCAATTGCTGTACCCTGGGTTGGGGTGGGGGTGGGGGAGCAGCGTCCTTGCCCTGTGGACCCAACCTCTGAGAAGGTGGGCAGCTGGCCCTTGTGCTCAGGGGCACTTATCTGCCTGGGGGAAGGCCACCTGTGGGACACTGGGGACAATAGTGTGGCATCAAGACATGACTGTGAGCTGGGCCAGCACAGCACACACAGTGGCTCTCACAGAAGGTTTGTTGAATGACTGAATGATCTAAATCAACTCCCATGCCAGGTGGCCCAGAGCCCCCTTCTCAGGGTGCAGACCTAGTTCAAGTGTGGGGTGTTCCCAACTTGTGGAAGCCCCCCCCATATTTGCCCAGGGCACAGCGACCTCTGTCTGGTTTCTTGGTGAAGACCATCCTCCCCACTCTCATTTGTTCCTGTCAGAGTGAGAGGTATCTCCATGGAAACTGCTTGGCAAACACTAGCAGGCAGAGGCGGCAAACAGCAGCTCGTGGAATCAGCTCCAATGCTGCCGGACCGATGGGGCGGTGCCGGTGCCGGCGAGTGTGCCCAGCTGTGCGGCTGTGCAGAGTGGCACACGTGTGTGCACGCACGCGCAAGCGAGGTGTGCGGTAGGCACGAGGGTTTGGGTGTGTGTTGTGACTGGGTGAGTCTGCAGGTGTGTGTAATTGTGCATGTTGGTGTGTGCATGTGCATGTTGTGTGGGTGTGCACACCATATATGGGTGTGTGTGTGAAAGCGTGCATGTGAGTGTTCGTGTGCATTTTGTGTGTGTTGTGTTTCGGTGCATTGTGTATGTGTGCATGTCATGGAGAAGTTGAGTGCATGTGTGAGTATGCATGTGAGTGTATTGTGTGTGCATGTGCACATGGGTGGTGAGAGGCAGCAAATGACCCTTGGTTAGCACTTCTGTGTGCGGGGCGCTGCACTAGGCGCTGAAGGGAACCAGACAGGAGGGGCCCTGCCTCCACCCCCCAGCACGTGGCTCTGGCTGCAGACGACCACTGAACAGGTAATTACAAGTGTCACTATAGACTGGGTCAGGAGGCCTCTGGGTTGGACCTAAAGCCTAAATGTTGGGTAGGAGTTGCCCGGATCAAGGGGAGGAAGAAGGTGCTCAGGACTGAGGCACAGCTCATGCAAAGGCCCTGGGGCTGGAGAGAGAGAGGCAAGCAGTGAGGGCAGAAGAGAGGCCTGAGGTTCCAGACTTCACCCCGATTTAGGGTGGAGAAAGGACAGGTGGTCGTCTCCAGGGGCAGGGACATCACAAAGCCCAGCTGGGGCACCTCCTGGGTGGACAACCTGCCTAATCACCAAACACTGAGCCTTGGAGACCCAGTGTCCACTGCAGGCAGGCCTACCATGGTCCAAGTTCTCAGAGGGACCCAGAGTGGTGCATGGGGGTTCC